CAGGACTGTGTCTGCGAAAGATGGCAAGAAGAATGGAACAACACAGAGGATGTGGCACAGTGGACGAAAATGCTGATCCCGAACATAAGAGATTGGGTGGACTATGGCCACAGGTGACTGGATTATTTCCTGATGCAGATGCTCACAGGACACAGGTGTTTTAGGGCCTACCTCTCTGGGTTCGGAAAAACTGACACAGATGAATGCCTACACTGTGGACACTGTGATACATATGATGTTAGATTGCAGCAGATGGATAGTAGAAGGGAACAATATGGAAAGAGAGACAGGTGTGAATTTTGTTAGTGGGAGAATGATTGTTGGACTTGATAGGTTGGACTAACATACACAACTATATCTGCGCAGTGATCAAAAAAAAGAAGAGGAAGAAAGACAGCTGGACTAACGGCAAAGGTAAGATTCAAAGATGGTGGAAGTTGAAGCTAGAAAAATGGGTCAGACTGTATGAGTTAGAATGCATGAATCAGACTGTGGGGAAGGAGGAAAGGCCCGCCCGTCTGGGAATAGTGCTGTACTAGGAGCGATGAGGATCTTCTACACGCTACCTGAAACGAGACAGGGAGCCTCCTTACTGATGAATGGAGTGTGGATGTTGATAAATGGAGAATGAATGAATGAAGGTAGTGCTTCGAAAGTGATGCCGGCCTTACCGCGGCCATTCCGCTTCCGGATCACTGAATGACAGAGGAGGGTCTGGTTTAGCAGATAGGTAGTTGGCGTAGACTCGGCGACAAGAGGACATTTTAAAGTACCTCGGGAACTATCGCCGGGCGTACGAAGAACGAATCCTGCACTAAGGTCAGTCAGGTGGCGTCCTGGACTGAGATGTCTTTTGAAGATTCCAGACCCCCCTATATAAAAATGAAAAAAAAAAGATATGTATAACTGAATTTATCTTAGCATAAATCTCTGTTTAAGAATGTACCTACATATTTGATGTAAAAGTTTACATCAGGTATCACTTATTCACTTTATAAACATCTCTTAAGTTTTTATTTGATTAACGTTAAACATCTAATTTAACATTATTTTATGGTTGTACATACAAAAAGCAAATGATACCACTATATTTCATATTTATTGCAATATACATTAAGTTTTTAAAATGAGATAAGATAGAGTTTCATATTGATTTATAATAAGATGTAATAGAGGATTAGAGGCGATAGAAAAATATTTATTTATCTGCTAGACTATTGACATAATTCGGCTACAGCAGTGAAGTGGAAAGGCACAAATATGATTATCTAAATGTACATACATGAAATACCTTTTATTTCATGTAAATATATATACATGAAATATAATTATTGGGAAAAGCTTTTCATTACAATAAAAGGATATTAAAATATAAACATGTAAGCAAAAGCCAATAATAAAACCAGTAATAGCATATGCAGCAGAAATAACACTGACAAAATAGGAAAGGAAAGAATAATCGGAATCAAAAAATTAATGATAGAAATATAAGAAGTTAATAAATGGTGAAATTAAGAATAGAAAACTAGACAGTAATAACAGATAGAAAAAAATATAGAAGTAGATGATAAAAATATATAGAAATATAGATAGTATACCAGATAAAAACACATCACGTGAATATACAAGACAATAAGGGCTAATCCAGGGCTTCCCAAACTGTGCGTCGCTGCGTTATCCCAGGGGCGTCGCGTGTCAGCGCGGACTTTTAATACAGAAAATATATTTATTTAATTTTAACTGAGTATAAAATATATGTATTAATAAATAAATCAAATAAAAAATATAACATCAAGTTCTTTGAATTATTCAAAAAATTATTCAATCCGAAGATTATCCGATGGTCCACGCAATTATCCAAAAATCGGATATTTATCCGGACATAAATATCTGGATAAATAAATAAATAGACATAAATAGACAACACTGGGGTCGAGTGAGCGCCGAGCGCATTCTGTTTTGCCGGTCGGCTCCCCTCCCCTGTGTTCCCTACTGCCGCGCGTGTTATGTCATTTAGTCAAGCTTTTGCTTTGTTTTATTACGCACGCCGAGTTTTTTGCTATCAACAATGGATACTTATATTCAAAAGCATAGAAAACAAAGTCAAGAATCAGGCGAGTGATAATTTAAGTAAAAAGAAGAAATATAGGAAATATGATGACCAATATTTGGATTTTGGATTTACCTGCGTTACTAAAGGGAATGCAGCACTACCACAATGTGTTTTTTGTCACAAAGTGTTGGCGCTAAAAGTATGCTTCCTAATAAACTAAAACAGTATTTGGAATCAACTCACAGTTATTTACAAGGTAAGCCAAGAGACTTTTTTGTAAGAAGATTGCGAGAATATGCGTACATACAAGAAACAAATATATGTGAGGATTTGTTATTTTGCAGAAAAATATGTGAAATTTGTAAAGCTACTGATTTGTTCGAGATTTTAAACTCATATTAGACTGAAAATAATATTAACTAGAATAACTCTGTAGGTGATAGACTTTTCCATAAACTTTGTAAAGCAATGGGGAAAATGCACACCTCTTTAATTTATTATTGCAACTCTCGTTGGCTGTCCAAAGGCAACATACTTGCACATGTATATGAATTTTACACATATCTACATACAGAATCACATGATGATGCGCAAAACTTTATTAATTCACGAGTTTATAATAAAATTAGCATAAGTCTGTGACACATTTGACAAATTAAATGATCTTAATAAGTCTTTGCAGGGAAACAATACTCATATCCTGCAATTGGCAGATAAAATTGCTGGGTTTCAGAAGAATTTGCTCTTATGGAAGAGAAAATTAGAAGATCAAGTAATTGACTGTTTCCCTGCTTTACAAGCTATTCTACAAGAAAAATCGATAGAAATCATTGATCCCTTTTTAAAAAATAAGTTTATTTATAAGTTAACCACAACACATTTTATAATTGAGCGAAGACTTTGAGAAATATTTTCCTGAAGACATGGAGCAATATGACTGGGTCAAAAATCCTTTACTGTCAGCTACGCCATCGACACTTTAAACACAGGAAGAAGAACAACTGACAGAATTGTTCTGTGATTCCAGCCTAAAGCTTCAATGCGACAAGGACAAACTGTTTTAATTTTTGAAGCTCAAGTTCTCATGAATATCATGCCATCAGCACTGCTGCATTTAAAGTTTTATTACCATTTATGACTTCATACTTGTGCAGTAATTAAAAACAAGTACAGGTCAAACATAAACTTGAAATGAAATGAGAGTGGCAATTTCTAAACTGGAGCTCCAATTTCATAAGCTGTGCTCAAAAAATGCAAGCACATCCCTCACATTAACCAGCCAGTTACATAAATAAATATCTCTTTTCATTTTTGTGCCTATGCTTTGATTAGGTTCTTAATTTTTAATATAAAATAAAAATGTTCAAATAGTGTTGTTGTTATAACTATAACTTACTACTAGGCTAATACTAAAATTGGTAAGTATTATTGGGAATTGAGTTGAAGGGGAATCATAAAAAAATAGCCCCAAGTCCCAAGGGTGTCACAGTACGAACAAGTTTGGGAAGCCCTGGGATAATCGATCTTGCTAAGTTAAATTATTTGAGTTCTAGTTTATTAGATCAGATTTAATTCCTGAAGAAATATAATAGCTTATAAATAAATAATACCTAGCTTTAATCTTAGATAGAATTAAGATCTAAATTTACTTTTATTATTACTGGTTATTTTGTATCATTAATTACTGTAAAATATATACTTTTTGAGACTTAAATTAAAATGTATAACAGATAGATCAATACTGATACATGGAATCCAAATAAATCTACTTGTGAACCCACATATATCACTATAAGGCAATAATTAACAATAATGAATTGAATTAATAGTATGTATCTATATTCTTTGTTAATAGTAAGACATTTTTAGTCTTGGTTTTTTAATATCTCTAGATACAATTTATTATCAGCTCTTTATATGTCAAATATGATATGATTATCTTTAGCTTCAAAATTGAATAAATACATATTTGATTATACTTTATGCATGAAATATTTATTCTAAATACTTAACTAACCTGTCTACCTTTAGTACTTTTACCACTGTATTAGGTTTTTAGTATTGGTGCTCTCGATATCAACAACTAAATATGTGTTTCAGTGATTAAATAATGTTTAATCATGAATTAAGCAGTTTAAAATGAAGAGTAAGTGAACTTATATTTTATATAGATATATTTTAGTCCATGATTGTACTTAGAGGTATATATTTTACCACAAACAATGCTTTTTAAATGTCTCTTTCATTGATAAGAATATGTAAATAGTACCTTTTGGTTTAATATATGCTATTTCAGAAAATTCATATATTCAGTTCTATTTTAGTGCGATATATATCTGTAATCAAACATACCTTTATAATAATGAACAACGTCAGTATACCTGTCATATTTTCTAATAAATTTGTAATGGGCTACAATGTCCACTCTAAAAGAAATTAAATAATTGTTTAAAAGGTATACATTTGGCCCATATATTTTTTTATTTTAATAGCTTGACACTTAACAACTGGTAAAGTTTGGTTTACAAATATATCATTCATCAAAAGTAGTAATTTATATCAAGTTTTGTCGGCATTAAATCTTAGTTTAATGATAATTTTCAATTAAAATAAATGTTTATTTTTCAATTTATATTTTTATTTGGCATTCTGGAGCATATTATTTACTTTTACGTAAAATTTTTATTAACTTTATCATTTCAAACTACCAATCATATTTATACCGTAGTTCGTAAAACATTCATGAAGAAATTGCATTATACATTATGTCAAACTGTCAGAAATGAAGTATTACGCGCATGAAAACTGAAAAAGTGAAAACCTCATTTTATAACCACATTGAAAACTTTTAGTTTTCCGGAACGTAAGTTTATTTATTTGTTATAACTGTGTTCATGTTGCTTTTAAGTTTTGCCGATATTTATTTATGTTATTTCCTAACATACAAATGACTAATGTGCAGACCGAACAATTAAAAAAGTTTGTATTTTCTTCAAAGTACACTGTTAATGGAGAACCTTTAGAAGAAAAGTTGGAGATAATTATACCAGAGGTACATTTAGGTCTTAACTATCAACCAAAGTACAATTTAGAATAAATGGGTATTTTTCAGAATTAGTTGATGAGGCTCCGGTATAACTAGAATATAAGTTTCTCTGAGGTTTTGGTATAGATGAACTCGTACTTACAACTTAGATGTTATGCTAAAACATTTGAAGGGGAAATTCTATTAAAGGACTAACTAACGTTACGCTATAGTTATATTGTCTACTAATACCCTGTTTATTTTTGTATTCTCTGTAAAACTACAAGTTATCTATTTCTAAGGTAAAGTAGCTTGGATTTTCATATTTGTAGTAAAATCTAATTATGGGCTAACTGTATAATTAAATCTTTGGAAGTTCGTTAGTGTAGTTTAGTTTTATCTGTCCCACATTTTTTCAGAATTTAAATTTAAAAATAAGTTACTGTAAGGAATGTTTGATCATAGTGTTGATTTTATACACATATAAAAATCCAAGGATGAAGTATTATTTAGCTGGCAGCTTCTAAATTATTCTTTAGTGTGTTTGCTTTTAATTATTGTACTTTACTAATTTAATCCTAGGGTTATCTTCTTGTATATATAAGGGATTTAAGCATGTGTTAGTAGTGTAGTAAGAGTTGAATTGAAGAAAATAACTTGCTATTAATGGATAGTTTAGATATTGTTCTGAAAACTTATCATTATAGGACATTCAGGACTTCTTCAATATTGGTGCAATGAACATAACCTCGTTGATATGTTTGAAGTTAATTAAATGTAAGCTTAATATACGTCAGTGTTGCCATATACTCAAATATTTCCCACTCTCACATATAAAATTATTGGCAATGATTGCAATTATTGGCAAATATTATTATATGAAATGAAAATGTAAAATTGAAAAATACATATATAATTAAACAAAAATGTGAAAAATATATATATTTTTACCTATACATAGGTATATAATTCATTAAAATTATACCTATAAATATTATAAAATAAAATTATATCTTGCATTTCTACATTTAAAAATACTTATATAATAAAAACCATTAAAATTATGCTTAAAAATTAATAGTTTAGAAACTTTATAAATTACAAAATAAAGTAAAGTTAAATGAAAAAAAATTAGGTTAAACAAAAGTATTTAGCTATATTTAAAATAAAAAATACTATTTTATGAATGCTTTTTAATATGAATTCAAAAATTGTGGCTGTGGCGTGTACATTTTTACATTTTACAGAAGTAAAACACTTCACATTTACCTAAGTATATACCTAAATACAAATGTGAAGCATTTTACTTCTGTATAAGTTTTTTAAAGCATATATAATTTCGTCAAAGTATCTTTCTATTTTAAACACTCCTATACTTTATACAAAAAAAAGTGGCAACACTGTGTCACACAAACATATTATTATAGCTGGATGCCAGGTTATGTTCATTGCACCAATATTGAAGAAGTCCGACATTCATAAGATTTGCTTAAAAACTAAAAGGTGTATTTTTAAGAAAAAAATGTTAGGTACTAAAAATCAGAGACAAGATTAGAAACACTGAAATAAGACGTAGAATGAAGATTAGGGATATTGTGGAAGAAATTACAAAAATGAAATGGCACTGGGCAGGTCACTTAGCCCTATATAATGACAACAGGTGGACACAGAGAATTCTAATATGGAGACCAAGGACTACAACAAGAAGTATGGGAAGACCTCAAAAAAGATGAGTAGATGACATAAGAGCATTGGTAGGCAAACAGTGGATTAGATTGTTGTAAGATAGAGAAAGATGGAAGCAATTGGGAGAGACCTACATTCAGGAGTGGATGGAAATTGGTTGACAAAGAGACAAAGAGAAAGTAATGATGAAAAATATAACAAAAAGAAGTAAAATTAGCAATGTAATCTCATTAACAAATGAAAATTGAGCTTTTTCCTTTACTTAAGTAAGTTTCTCTTCTCTAAAATTAGTGATGTTTATTAGAGATGTGGCTAATGACTTAACAACAAGCCAGATAAAAGTGGACAAGAGGGAGAAAATCTAGATAGACTGGAAACCTTATTGTTTTTGTTGAGATCTCTACCACCTTTTTTTCTATTCTAGTTAAATACATATGGAACAACTATCCAGATTATAAGTAATTTACACAGATAGTTCTAACATACATAACAAAAGTTTTTGGAAAAATATTAATGAACAATTTAAAGAAAATGTTAAAAATATATTTCGGCATTGCAGCTGTTATTCGTTTTTTCCCTTTCATATTAAAATTCTTTGACTTAATATTTCTTTTTCTTAATATAATTCTCCCAAAAAATCTTCAATTGGACTGTGGTATACTTGATGGGTTGTCATTTTTGGGCACAAACAGGATGCTGTGGGTCTCTAAACCAAATAGATTTTTAGATAGATTAGGATAAAAGAAAAGTCTGTGGTTGAAAGAATTTTTTTCCTGTCCACTTCTTCCCCATCTTGCCAACATACACACACACATATATCTATTTCTAATAGTTTTATTATAAAAATCCAATAAGTGTGTTTAATGTTTATGTTTTGTTTCAGTTGCTACAAGCAAGTTACTCATTCTACACCTGGCCTTCAGCACCAGTACTTGCATGGTTTATTTGGGAAAATCGTGAAGAATTTTATGGTAAAAAAGTTGTTGAACTAGGAGCAGGTACTGCTCTTCCTGGAATCGTCGCTGCTAAGTGTGGTGCTGATGTTATATTGACAGAATCAGCCACACTACCAAAATCTCTATCTCATACTAGAAGAAGTTGCCAAGTTAACAATCTAGTTGTTAATCAACATATTAAAGTTATTGGACTTACTTGGGGATTGTTTTTAGGTAATTTAGATCTGCTTGGTCCTCTTGATTACATCATTGGTTCAGACTGTTTCTTTGAACCAGCCACATTTGAGGATATTCTAGTCACAGTTGCATACTTGCTAGATATCAATATTAATGCTAAATTCTTCTGTACTTATCAAGAAAGGAGTTCTGATTGGTCTATTGAACATTTACTCTCTAAGTGGGACTTGGAGTGTATTGTGCACAATATAAACAATTTAGGGAACAGTATAGGTCTCAACATTCACGATTTAATTGGAGATCATAGCATTCACTTGCTTGAAATTTCAAGAAAATCATAAGTAATGGCTACAAATGGTATTCGCCAACTCTACAAATTGTATGTGAGCAACATTCCTTGGACTGTTGGTTCAAAAGAGTTAAGGACTTATTTCAGTAAGTTTGGACATCTACAACAAGCTACTGTTGTATTTGATAGAAAAACAGGACTTTCTAAAAACTACGGCTTTATTACATTCAGTAATCGTGAAGGCTTAGAAAACGCAACAAAAAATAATTTACATAAATTAGAAGGAAATACAATAAGATTACAGCCATCAAATCCTGAAAATTAAAAATGGCTGATGCAGTAGATAATTTTAGTGATTTACAAGAATTAGGTATAGATATAAATGAGGAAGACAGCTTGACTATTTCTTTTAACAAAGCAGCCAGTCATTTACAGAAGCTCTTACCCAATGTGGATAATCAGACACTTCTTACCTTATATGGCTATTACAAACAAGGTACTGAAGGCACTTGTAAGACTTCCAAACCTAGTTGGTATGATCTTCGTGCAAAATCTAAGTGGGATGCTTGGAATAGACTAGGAGATCTACCCCAGAAAGAAGCTAAAACACTATATATAGACACTCTTAAGAAATTAGATCCTACATTTGATGATACCCCCTTGGAGAAATCTGAGGAACAGTGGATAAAAGTATCTTCTATGTCCAAGGATGAAATCCCTCAGTCAGAGTTCACAGTAATAGATTATATTAAGGAAAATAATGTGAAAGAAGTAAGGCTTTATTTAAAAACAAATAAGCCAGATCTTATCAATGATGGACTTTCACTAATACACTGGGCAGCTGATGGAGGTAGTAGTGAAATTTTGAAATTGTTAATAGATGCAGGGGCTGATGTGAATATAAAAGATAGTGATGGACAGACTGCTTTACATTATGCTGCAAGTTGTGGCCATACTGATTGTGTTAAATTGTTGTTGCAGAAGGGTGCTAACAAAGAAATAACTGATAATGATGGTTGCACTCCTCATAATGTTGCTTCTGAGAATGAAATATTAGAATTACTTAATTAGACTTTGTAATTTTGTTAAATTAAATAAAAGTTTTAAAAACATTGTTCATTTATTTTTGATAAATACCATACAAGTAAATTTTACAGAAAAATGTCATGCAGATGAGTTTATGTTTCCATAGCCAGAAAATAACATTTAGTGTCTAAATTCAAACATCTATGAGGTTATTAATCAAGTGGAGTGTTGTACATTACTCACAGGTCTAGGAGCAAATAGTTAAGTCCAAAAGAGCATACATTAGCAAAAAATAATAGATACTCTCTTCTAACTTTGGGTATAGCTTCATAAGGCCACATCTGGCAGTTTCCTTTTACAAGTTTTTCGGTTTTGTCTTTCATCTTCTACTATCTTCACTCTCATTCTCTTCTGATTCTTGTCGTTTCTTCTTATGGTGCCCTTTCCAATTAGTGGATGTTGCGACAATTCTGACATACTCCTCTCAATCTTGTGTGGCTCTAAAGAGTGCATGGACATCGAGGTTTGCCCAATCCCTTATGTTTTTAAGCCATGAGTATTTCTTTCTTCCGATGTCCCCTTTTCCTTCTATCTTTCCTTTCATAATAAGATTTAAAAATGGGTTCTTGGAATTTCGAAATATATGACCCAGATAGCAGTTTTTCTTCTTTTTATTATCGGCAGCAATTCTCGTTCTCTCTCCATTCGATTAATTAATTTGACATTTGTTGTGTGATCTGTCTAGGGAATTTTTAGTAGTAGTCTTCTAAATACCCACATTTTAAATGCCTCCAACCGGTTCATCACATTAGCCTTTATGGTCCAGATTTCTACACCATATAGCAGTATGGAGTAAATGTAACATTTTTTCAAAGCGATATTGAAGCGTAAGTTAAGGCTCCTGTTGCTTAGCAAGGTTCTCATATTAGTAAATGCTGTTCTGGCTTGCTCAATCCTGCTACGTATCTCTTGTTGTTTATCATTCGATTTTATTAGACAAACAACAATATATGATCGAAAATCGATTTGGGAAATGGAGCGTTTATTCGCCAATCTGTAAAATTTACAGGCATTTACAATGGAACTATCAATAACATTTTTAAAAAGTGGGCACCACCCATTTCCTTCCTCTTACAGCAATCCTTAATTCGCTATACCGCTGTCATGTAATTCAACGCGCCCATACATATACAATACATTGTATTGTGTTCTTGAATAACATTCGGCATGTGTATATTTATTTCTTGGCGCTGCTTGCGATCGTATCTCTTTTCAAAGCCTATGGGATGGACCTGACAGTTATAGGAGATTTCTGTTAGGACTGAGTTGTCATTCCATCTAAATATTTCAACTTTGTCAAACGACCCTTGAACTTTTTTAGAAATAATTTTAGATGTTTCCAGTTGGACACTTTTCAATAATATTTTCTCACACTGTGCCAGTTACATAAATTCCCTTTACATCAATATTGTGAACAGCTTACAAGATGAAAAAAAGTTTTCAAAAAATGTCCTGTTAGAGGGAGTTTCTACAACACTTTAGTAATTTTAATACATCAGCATCCAAGACTAAATCTGATTTTGTTCTGCTAGCTCCACCGTAGGGGATAAACTGGAATATGTATCCATCAGATGAACAGATGCGCCACAACATACCCAAAACGAACAGGTTTTCCCTTTATAATCATTTTTGCAAAATGGCTTCCAAAACAGGGTACCATTTCTTCGTCTATAGATAAATTATATGCGAAAATATCAAATTGCAGTAATTTTCGATTCATATGTCGAAAAAGGGGCGAAGTTTTGCAAATCATTTTTGTGTAACACCATTATCACTTATTTGAATATACGTTTTGATATGGCGAAATTTATTTCTACTCATGCAGTTCCTAATGAATGTCACGTTCTTATCCTTATAATAGATATCTATTTATAGCAAGGTGTGATATCCTGTAAGAATGAGTATTCCCAAAAACCTTTTCAGTGAGGCATTTGTTAAATGAAAATCGTGACAATTATTATTACATCGTGAAAGAGCTGGAAACATTCTTAAGGGGTTTTTCCGGCGACACGCTTCTAAATTTCTATCCCGTTTTCAATTTCTTGTAATTGTGGTGCTGATGAAAATGTCGGATCAGTTTTGTAGACCATTTTGGAGTTGTCACACTACATACCTACTTTACGTTTTCTATTTTGATTTGCTTGTTGTTGGTTCGACGCCCAATGAATCCTTAGTAGGAATCTCTACAAAACCGACATCTTCAGATTTACTCCTGGAAGGTTCCAGAACGACGGTATCTTTAGCAGAAATCTCAAATGTACCGGCAATCTCTCGAATCTTCTTGTCGCCTACATTAATCTATTCAACTAAAAGTACTAATAAAATAGTGCATATTATGTCTATAGTTTCCGTAAATAAATTAAGCCAAGTTAATTTTTTCTATGCACACCAGATAAAATGTCACTGAACAGCACTGGTTCCGTTTAAAACATAGCGGATTCCGTCTGCGCATACTTATTTTTCCAAGCAGAGTGAGCATTCTGATTGTTTATTATTCTGTGCCTACAACGTTACGTAAAAGATGATCGACCCCATCATCATTATCAATGATATTCTCCAATTTGGCTTCTAATTCTCCGCCCTTCTAACACATATTTGACCACAAAAGTGTTTTATCAATAAAAATTACTACATTTAAAATAAAATTTATCGAAAGGATTGAAACTGTCTCTCTTTGTCAACCATTTTCCATCCACTCCTAAATGTAGGTCTCTTCCAATTGCTCCCATCTTTCTCTATCTTGCGCTAATCTAATCCACTGTTTGCCTGCCACTGCTCTTATGTCATCTACTTATCTTTTTGAGGTCTTCCCATGCTTCTTGTTGTCGTGCTTGGTCTCCATTCTAGAATTCTCCGTGTCCACCTGTTGTCATTATATCGGACTACGTGACCTGCCCAGCGCCATTTCATTTTTGTAATTTCTTTCACAATATCCCTAATCTTCGTTCTACGTCTTATCTCGGTGTTTCTAATCTTGTCTCTTAGTGATATTCCAAGCATGATTCGTTCCATTGCTCTTTGCATTGTTTCTATTTTTTAGCAGATTTTTTGGTAAGGGCTACTGTCTCCAAGCCGTAGGTACAAAGTGGTAGTATGCATGTGTTATACACCTTTTTCTTCAAGTTTACAGAAATGGAGATATTTTTCAAGATATATGCTAGTTTGCCGAAAGCGTCCCATACGGTTAGTTATGATTTTAGTTAGTAATTTATACAGATGTGATAGCAAGGATATTAGTCGGTAATTATCGATGTTTCGTTTGTTTCCTTTCTTGAATAGTAGAATGACTTCGGAGTTGTACCATTCTTGAGAAATTTTTCCTTCATCAATTACTTTATCAAATAAAATATTTAATACCTGTTCCATTTTGCCACCAATTTTCAACATTTCAACTGTAATTTTATGTGCAGTTGGTCTGTGTCGTTTTAACTGACAAGTACCACGTGTTAAAAATCGAGCAGGAAGACATGTAGTCCCTAAAGTACTAAAAATTTTATCCATTGTCATCGACCTAAAGTCACAACATAATTAAAATTTGGAATGATGTAAACCCATATATGGATGTCAGCCACAACTTTATTGTTAGATTCAACTACATAAGGCACTGAGGATTATCTGTTCAGATCGAAAACGTTTTGCTACTACATAAATTTTGACGACACTTTTTTAAAAAGTTTTAACTATGTTTTTATACCAAAATACAAGTCTGAAGTGTTTTAAACTTCTGTATGTTTTTTTAAACGATGGTATACAGCCAACTACTGGGATTTTCCCATTAATTTTTAATTTTTGTAATTTTATTCTCTCCCGGATATTTATTCGTTTTTAGTTGATTTAGGGCCATTTTTATTTCATAGTCGGTTATATCCGGTATTTCTTCTGAGATGGTGTTAATTATTATTCGTTCAGTACGTCGTTGTTGTGGTTGTGTATTTACCGAGTATAATTTAGTGTAGAATGTTTCAATGGCCTCACTTATTTCCTTTCTGTCTAGGACGGTGACGTTTTTCTCATTTTTTATTTCTATGATCTTTGTTATGCCGCTTGAGTTTTTTTGCTTTCAGTACTTTCATATTGCAGTTATCTTGTATTATATCTTTTATTAGATTGTTAGTACAGTTTCTATAATCGTTCCTAATTTCTTTCTTCGCGTTTTTGATTAAACTTTTGAAGCTGTCCGAAGTTCTATCTGTTCTGTTTCATCTTTCTTGGAGTAGTTTAATTGTATTAGGTTGGAGTTTGGATGTTTTGACTTTTTTCGTGTTTGAGCATATTTTCTTAACCGATGTTGTTAGTTACTTTTATTTTATTGGCTAGTCCCTTTTATATCCATTTGTTTCAGTGTCTCTATTGATTTTAGTCTTGTGCTTAGTTTTTTTTTGGTATTCCGTTTGTTTTTGAAACAGGACATCGGTGGTTGTGTATCGTTCTCGTTTAATAAGTTTGTTTCATTCTACTCTCGTCTGTATTTTAATATTCGCTCTAACCAATCTATTGTCACTCCCGGTATATACATTGTTTACTACTGTCACATCGGTGCATATGTTTTTGTTATCGGAGAGTATGTATTCTATTTCGTTCTTAGTTTTCTTGTTTGGCCTGATCCATGTCCATTTACGTTTTTTAAGTAGTTGTACAACATCTCAAGCTTCGTTGCTATTGTCCAGCCCAAAGCGACCGATATATTGTGTGTCGTCCTCTTCTTTTGTTCCAATTTTTGCATTAACATCTCCTGTGATTATTAAGAAGTGTGATTTTTCTTGGTTCCTTGCTGTTGTCAGATCCTCATAAAATGATTCAGCTTCCTCGTCTGTTGGGTTTCCTGTCGGTACATATCCATGTATTATCTGTAAACTGTATCTGCTGTTCAAGGCGATGACAAGAGATATGACGATGATAGATTTGAAACTGTCAGAAAGAAAATATTTTTGTAAAGCAAAATGAGTTTGGAAATTAAACAAAATTAAATTTAATTATATCACAGAATAATAAAACAATCAGAATGCTCACCCTGCTTGTAAATATAAAAGTACGCGCAGACGGAATCAACCATGTTTTAAGCGGAACCAGTGCTGTTCAGTGAAATTTTATCTGGTGTGCATAGAAAAATTAACCCGGTTTAATTGATTTACGGCAACCATTGACAGTTCTTCCAAGGTAGCGATATATCTTCAGTAAAAGTACAGAGTGTTATCTTGAATACTTAATCTCTACCATCACCTGTAGCTTGACGAGAACTAGACTATAATTTAATTTCATGGGTATAAATAAAAAATGTTTATGATTCAAACACACTTTATTGAGACATACAACCATTCACTGTTATAAAAAAACATTTTTAAAAACAATAAATATAAAAAAGCTAATGGACAGAATTAATGAACATTATAAAATTACTTACGAAATATAAAAAAAATACTGATAAAAATTAAACCACTGGAACTTGTTCAAATACTTCTCCTTTTCGCTCGACGTCCCTTTCTATACCCCTTCCCAAACCAACCTGCTTGTGCTCTGATTTTAACTGTGTCTTTTTCACTAATGTTCTCTATTTTATCCAATTCTTCTTCATCAGTAGAATAGTCACAGCACAGGCAAATATTTGGCTTTTTTTTTTGTTCAATTTTACTATAGCGATTGATCTGATTTAAAAATAGTGGTTCGTTCTTAGGATAGAACAAACAAATAGATGATGTAAAATATTTGAAGCAGTAATCACACGCAGGCTTGACTTTTTCAACTTTAACATCATCTGCTGAATAAAAATCTTCCTTAAATGTAGGTAAGGGATTGATGATACTGTGTAATCCTGAATACATAAAACTGGTTTGATAAGGGTAAAGGAATAATTCAGAATACTTTTCAAAAACTTTATCTTGCAACTCTAAAAATTTACTTGAATCAATAAAATATGGGTCTTTTAACGGCAATGAGACTGTTTGAACACTTTTAGGCTCTAATCTAGAAGAAATAGGGTATTTTAAAGAAGAGTCAGCATCCCTTTTGAGGAGACTGTCTGTTAATCTATTGCTAGTATCACAGGTTTTTGAATCTTCTTTCCAATTGAGATCAGATATATTATTTGCTATACAGTCTTTGTTCCTCATAAAATCTTTTTGCTCACTCTTCTCCACCTTTACATTTAAAAAAGGTTGTGTTGTGGTATGTAGTTCTAAATGATGCATTTCTGTAGCATGAGCATAAATAGGATCTGTAAGTTTCTCATATTTTGGGACTACAATTCCTAACAAATTCATTACTTTCCTCATAATTAAATCACATTTTCCATTTAATTTAACATTAGCAAATTCATCCTTAGGTGTCCACTGTAAGTTTATTATATACAAATTTGCTCTTTTCTTCACTGGTTTCTCCATTTGCCACAGCCATGGATACTTTTTCAAAACTTTTAAACTAGAGCCCAAACATATTACAGTTGTTGCCTTACTGGCACTCTTACAAGCCCCTGACCAGTTAAGAGGCCACTGTAAGTTGCCTCTTTCCCCAAAATGCACTATAGTATCAAACAAAGGTCCATTACAGACATAACATCTTCTGAATGTTTTATGAGAAAACCTAGCTGTATTTTCAGTGACATCAAAGTATCTCCAGTACTCTCTGGGTGGTTTACATTGCTTACAAACTTCAATTGACATATTGCCATGCAGCTCTGATAAAGCGGTTCTAGGTAGACCTGATCGCAAATGCAGACCGTCACAATTTTGAGAAACTACATGTTTCAGAATGTTTTTGCGGTATAGTTCTGCCAATGCCATATGAGTGTATGTTGGCTCTGCCAAGGAAAGATCATAATTCCTGTAACAAAACAATAACAACTTATTTTATGGATTTTAGTTAACAATATACAAATAAAAAGTTTTTTGTGACACTTTATGATACAAATGGTTTTAATACATTTGGTGATAAGATGCTGACAGATAATGTGGCATCCTACATTTGGACAGAAAACGACTTTAAAAAAGGATCTAATGAAACTGCTTCATTTGTTTTTGATACACTCAAAACAACAGAAAAGGAAAGCAGTATTACTGCTGTGCAATTAGTGAGTGATGAATGTGGGGGCTACAACAAAAATTTAATAGTCATGGCCATGGCTTGTTTCTGGCTTTCTAAATATGAACCAAAAATCTAAAAACGGTAGAGTTCTTATTTCCCATAACAGGTCATAGCTTCCACCAGATTGAATATTTGGAGTCTCAGAAAAGTTTATGGGAAAAAAAGAGCTGATTTACAAACCATCAAAGTAGATTGATGAACATTCAAAAGTAGTAAAGGTTGGCCAAGACTGAGACATCTTTGACTGGAAGAAAGAAAAAACTCATGAAAAAACAGACACAATTTCATTTTCAACTGGGGACCTGAAAAAGGATTATTCTAACAAGAACTTAATATAAAAATGTTCTCATTAGAGGTGAGTACACATACAAGTCATATATGGGCGTAGGAAAACTGCTTTTGAACATGAACCCACACTTGATTCCTTTATCAAACTAGACAAAAACTTGTTAAAGAAGCATTATGGAGACCAGTGGAGGGACAATGAGAATCTACTCTTCTACAAAAATGTCATTGATGGGACTGATGACAATGCAGAACCCGAGTCAGTTTGTGAACACATTGAAGAAGTCAACATTATTAATGTTTAAAAATATGTTATTCTAAACAGTGTATCTGAAACATATGGTTTTAAAGAGTTAAACATCATAGCCCTGTAAAATAAATTTAATGATTTGTTAAAATTAAAATTGAAATAAAATAATTTATTTAATGTTTTTATTTCTAACCCATAAAAATTATAACAATATAAATCACCTTATTTTTCTTGGTTCTAGTTGTTAATTTAAGGATAAAATATAAATAAAGCAAAGTTCACATATTTTGCATCATAACTAACATTATCCATGAGATTTTGGTGCAAAACTCACAGTTAACCACATTTTGGTACAAAACTCACATTGTCTGAATTTTAAATTAAATTTACAAAACAATCCTCAATAAATACAGCCATTAAGTTTAGGCAAACAGTTTCTATTACAAGAAAGGTGTTACACAAAAAAAATTGAAGCATTACACCATGGCTTTCAGTAGTAAACAGTTTTTCTCATTTTTCCAAAAGTTGAGAAACATGGAGAATGTGAATTTTGCATCTATACAACCCATATATTTGTGTATTTTTATAAATAAGTATATAAGTATAGTTACAAATAATGTCTTTTAAAAATAAATTTTACAAAAAAAATTAATTTTTTATTTGAAAATCAAATCTGTGTTAATTTTTTTTAATTATGCTTATTATTTAACAATTACTTTTTTTGGCTGAAAAACATGTAAATACTAAAAAATGTGTACTTTTAATATTTACTAGTAAACTCTCATTAATATTTACGTGGTAAACAACAAAAGGTTTGATATAAAACTGTAAAAATTTCTTTGTGTGAAAAATATAAAATTACTAAATTTACTACCACCTTACCCTATGTCTTTCCCTTGTTGCAATCTAGTCCATATACCATTTGTTCCTCTATAGTCGGGTATTTTGGCAGCTGTACTTATTCCAGCACCAGTATAAGCTACCAAATATTGTGATTGGGCTATTGCTTGGGCAAGTATATGACATTTATTATCAATAACATCTTCAGGGTCTTCCAATTCCTCCAACCTCTTTTTAGCCTCTTCCCTTTTCCTCCATCTCTCACGAATTTCTTCTACTATATCTTTATATTGATTTAATAGTTTTTTATCTGTTACACTTCTATCGCTATCAATTTTTTGAAGTATAAATGAAATCTAAAATAAAAATATTATAAATACTCATGTAAGTGGAATATATTATATATTTTGACAACAAATTCAGAATTAAATGCTGCAGATAAATTGCTTTTAAATCCAACACCCTAGCAGTAAATGGAGTTTGGAGAAACTTATTATTTTACTTTATTTTGACTATAGATATCATGAAACCATGCACAAGCTCAATAGGCAATCCACAGCCTGTGATGTTCCATCTACCAATTTTTCTGTACATTTTTTGAATTTGACACCTGTATCTATTGATATGCTCCTTGGATTTATTTTATAATACATTTACTTTACTTAAAAACCAATTTTACCATTTACCAAAAGTAATAGCAAAAATTTATTTGGATTCCAAAATCACTCAAGGAATAGCATACATCAGAAGAATTGTCTTTCTCCTGCTATTGTATGAAATGTTTTAGGAAGAGAATCTTTTAGGAATTAGTGTGAAGATTCGAAAAGAAGCAAATTCTCCCTAATTATAGACCAATTATCCACTGATAGGTCGACACAAAAGCATATATGCCTAGTCTTAAGATATTTTTTAAAAAATATGATCCAAGATAACTTTTTCTGCCTCATACAGTTAAGCAGTGCAGGCAGTACTAGTTTGTACACCTGTATTAAAGATTTCTTTTTGACAAATTCTATTCCATATAAAGACAATGTCTGACAGAGCAAACAATGATGGGAAGACATCATTCTGTTGTATTTTAAAAATAGTTATTCCCAATTTATATATCATGAAATGTATATGTCACTCATTTCGTTTGTCTGCATCTTACACAAATCCGTTAAGCACAGAATTAATTACAGGTCTGTTACATACAAAAACTTACATTAATCAAGAAAATTGCTTATGTTTCCAAATGAAAACAAAATTATTTGAATGCATCAATGAACATTAAAACCCTTACTGAAAATGAATGAAAATATAAAATGACAAATGGTACAAATTTCTTTTTATAAAAAGTTGTTTTAATGATATTTATTTTTGTGTAAATAATACTAATGTTTTATTAATATAATAATTTTGTGTTATTGTTTACTAGATATTATTTGAATTGTTAAATTTATACTTTATTGCCTTTATTGTTTCACATATTGTTTAAAATGTATAATTTCAAATTGAAAAGTGTGTATATGATCTACTGAAATCTACCACATTATGCCGAAGGTAGAGGTAGTGTGTTATCTAAACGGCTATGACTTATGCATGTGTAAAGCACAAATTTAAGCTTTGGCTATACAAATTTTAATAATTTTGGATGAACCAAATGCAGATATTTTCAAGGTCATAATCATTTAGAAAATCCACAAACATCTCCCGATTTTGACACAGCTCAATAGAACATCACTGATTACAGCAGTTAGAAGAGTGTTACAATGGGAAAGGCTTCATAACTGTTTATAAGTTTATTATTAAATCACTGGTTTTAATGATAGATTTTATCTTTGTTAGAATTTATCATTACTGAAGAAACATTTATATCTAGAGACCTATAATATAATGGAATTAAATAGAGTTAAAATATTAGTACTGGGTAAGATAAAGAATCATCTGATCTGTAAAACTACCCATGAACAATTGGTTTACTTTGATGTCACTGGTTACAGATCTTTTGAATCTTCTTCTTTTTAACATAGCTTTCTACCAATTACAAGTGTATGATCATTATATATTCAAAGGTCATAAAGTTTTAGTTTTATTTAAACCAAGCCAAATAAAACTGCATTTCTTCTACGCCATTTTTAGGGTATGATTAAATTTATTTTCATTAACAATAAAAAACTAAAAATACTATTTATATTTTGGGCAAAAGTGAGATTGAATAAACATTTAAATATCTGCATAAGGTTGGGTCACTGGATACTGAGAAAAGTCTTAAAGTGGAAGTATTAAGCAAATATATTTTAAAAGTACAATGTTCAATAAAAAAAGTTACAATAAATAAAAATAATTCATATCTAAAATATTCGGTAATCCTCATTTTGCAGTAATTACAAAACTATTAAACTAGGAAATTATCAATTAATTATAAACAATTATTTAAAAGACTTTGGTATAGTTGGCAGGATTTATATCAAATTTCAACAGGGTGGTAAATTTAGAGTTTTATGAATTAATAAAATGATGATTGCAGCTAGTACTTATATAAATGCAAGAATTGTAACCAAATTTTATAGTTTTTAGTACTATCAAGCAGAAACTTGATATTAATAGAGACCAGAGTAAGTCCGACTCTGTCCTTTGAACTTTCTAACTATAAACATACATACTTTTTTTACAGTTGCAATTCTCTCCTCTTTGGCACATAGTTTTTTTGTGTATTCGATAGTTGCTTTTCTTGGTAATCTAAACCTTTTTGATCGTGACTCGTCCTCTTCAATCTCTGGCTCCGACATATTTTCCGATATGTCCTCGTCCATAGCTAATAATATTGCTTGTGACTAACATCATTAGATAAAAAATAAATGTATATTTCCCATATTGAAGTCCAATTTTGAGTTATATATCGAAACGTTGATACTATTTTTATTGCAATACTTTACGTTTGATATCTAGTTCTAAACCCATTTTGTTACATTACAATACAACCTAAATCTAAACAAAAATATACGCAACACCACCATCAGCAACAACATACATCCCCGCTATTCCACACACGCTGATTATTCTTGTATTTCATTGGTTTAGAAAGACTGGCTTCAGCTTCTATTGTGAAGATAGCAGCATAAGTATTTGAATTCTATCACAGAATAGGTACGTGTTCTGTGGAGTTTAATTATCCCCTGGGATATTATCCAATAAAAGAAGAAGAAGATCTTTTGAGTTCTGTATATCGCCGTTTTCGTGCTTTTTTTCTATTAATTTTTGCATTTATTATCTTATCTACGCCTATATTTATTCTATTATTTGCTTCTAATCTAAGTGACAGATAATTTCATAAAGTATCTTCAAAATTTAACGAGTTGGAACGAATTCATGGAATAGAACTGGTTTTATTTTGTGAATTTATGTGCATTTAGTACCAGCCTGTGTCGACTTGGCAAATACTATATAGGGTTGGTTTTAAAGCTTTAATTATTTATTCTTTGTTAAAATCCAAGAATATAATTATTACCGAATATAATATATTCTGGATATAACATATATAGTTTATTTTGTTTTCAAAATAATACTGAATAGAGTACTATTAACTATTAAAAAACGAGTAAAACCTTGTATCATCCTCAGAAGTGGCTGTGGTTCTAAACGCTTATGTTTAATTAGATGTTAATAAATATTTATTTGTCATGTATGTCAAGTGTCAATGTCAATAGAATTTTCTAAATGTCATTAAAAGCAATGGCAACAATAAATTTAGGAATGTGGAATAGCTCAAATGGGCATCAAAGAATTAAAATTATTAATGTAGACATAGAAAATAAAGTACATATTTTTAAAACCCAAGCTTTGAAAGAAGTGAATGATGCAAGTAAAACTTTAGGTAGGTTCTCACAATCTTTTAAACAAAGACATTGTACCTTTGTTCATTTGTAGAATTTTCATATTGTGGGCTAATTTTGGACGACGAAAACACATTATCATCCTACGGCATTGCTGATGGTGTTACAATTCACGTATTTGAAAAATCTGCAGGTGTCCCTCCAGTAGTTAACAACAAAATGACTTCAAATGAACTAATAGCTTCCTTTAGAAGTCTTGTTATGTTTTCAAACTACAGGTTAGCCTTACAGGTAAGCTTTCTACTTTTTATAACTCAAGCTATAGCATTAAGGTTTTCCTCATAAGAAAAAAACACCAAATGTATAATATTCCCTTTCTTTTTATTGATTTTAAAATTTCTGTGATTAGCTTTCATTTTTAATCAACATTCAGTCTCTTTTGTATTTTCTTCACAGTAATTTTACAATTTCATTTGTATGGAGCCATCCATATCTAGGAAGCATTCTCCTACCTTTGTAATTTATAGATTAGTATTTATAAATATAAAGTTTTGACTCAAACTTAATGAATATACACTCCCATCATTCATTATTCTTCTTTTTTTAATTAAATAATTCTAGGACAGAAAGTTTTTTTTTTCTATTGATAAGCTGACATCAGATTTTTTTTTTGTATGTTTCCTACAATGACTCAAAATACACTTTTACTGTATTTTATTTTATTCTATTTTTATTTTATTAAGAAACATGTGCGGGACTGTTCTACTAATTTAAGTAGTGTGTGGTTACACAGCCAACCTATCTATTTCCCTCTGCATTTTCCACATTTTTGTTTTGCAAGCTAAGCTTCCAATAAGTTTAAAAATCTAGGGAGAAATTATTTGACTTTTTGGTTCATGGTGATGCCATTTATTTATGACCTCATTGTTTTACTATTATATTTTAACTTTTAGAGGCTAACACGCTCCGAAGTTGTTCAAAAAATAATAGAATCTTGCCCCAGCCTCCTGGAAGATCCAGCAGCTATAGCCCTAATTCAAGATCCTGAGCTAATGTTTTATCTATCAACACCAGAGCAAGGAAGCGAAATTATAGATAAACATCCAGTGTTACTTGAAGCAGGAAGGCATATTGTTGCCCAGGTTCAACAGGAACAGGCCAGCTTAAATCCAAACCAGGCAGGTACCAGCACAGGATATTCTTATTCTTTAGAAGCCCTTTCAGATGATGATGAAGAAATGGATTCAAGTTCTGATATAAGTTTTTCACAAAACCCCTTAACAAGGAATACTTCATTCAATGCTATAACTGCAGCACAATTAGCTGCTGCTATTGCAAATGCAACAAATACACAGTTTAACACTAACAGTGCTGGGGTACCTACCAGTAATTCTAACTCCTCAAATATAATCACAAACGAAATGTTTTCCAATGCTATACAACAGGCTATTGGTTTAGGAGGATCTAGCACAGGTTTTTCTTCTAGTACTCCTAGTACTAACAATAGAGAAGATGACCACCAATCTTATGAAACTTTAAGTATACAATGGCAAGCACAGCTGAAGCAAATGCATGAAATGGGATTGATTGATGATATTGTTAATATTAGAGCTTTGAGGGCTGTTAATGGTAATGTTAATGCAGCTATTGAACTGGTTTTGAGCTTTAATGATATTAACTAAATGTAAAACTTTCTTGTAATCTATTTATTAAAATAAAAGTATGTATACAATAACCTATGTTTTACTCTTTGTCCAAGACCTTTAACTCACATATATCCATGATTCCTACAAAAAACACATTTATTAATTAGTTGAGTATAAACCACAATTTCAGTTAACATATTTTAAACTGAAATTATGGTCAATTAGTTATAAAGATAGTAAATAATATTAAAATGCTACATGAAAATAGCGTCCAATTAATACTGTTCAAGAGATTTAAAACTTACTTTTGACTATTTCATTAGAAGCTTTTAACGCTGGTGAATTAGCTAAATGTGTGGCAAAATCTTTTCCTTCATCACAACATCTGGCAATTCTAGGATCTAGTGGCAAGCTTCCCAGAAATGGAACACCTAAATCTTCACACATTTTCCTTGCTCCTCCTGTTGATGCTGGGAAGATATCTGAAGACTTCTATAAAGAGATATTTATTTATTAGCTCTTTGGCCTAAGATTTTCCTGTTACACATATCAAAGTAATCACAAATAATATAAAAAGAAGTATAACAAATTAATTATCTGTAGTATATACCTCACATTTTGGACATACAAATTTTGCCATGTTCTCTATTACTCCTATAATTTTTATTTTGACTTTGAAGCAAAAATCAATTTCTTTTCTAACATCTAACAAAGCCACTTCCTGAGGAGTTGTAACAATAACTGCTCCTGTCAAATTGGCTTTTGAGAGATATGTTACTGCAGATAGATGTTCATCAGATGTACCTTAAAAACAAAGATTACAAATGTACAGCCGCAGTGATCAAATAGTTTACACCCTTAGTAGCTAATTTTTTGAATTTTTACCTCATTTAAACACACAGTTTACGTCAAGGTGATGTTACCAGTGGCGGACCCGGACAGAATAGGTTGATTAAAATTAAAAAACTAAAATAAATCTATTAAACAAAATGGAAATTATACAAAGAAATGTTTGGTGTTAACAATTTTAACAATTCTTCTTGTTCGTTCAATTAGCTTTTGTTCATTGCAAACTTCAGAAACATTTGCATTACTGTGTAGCTTGCTTTTATTGTCAAAAAGTAGGTACTCAGCCCAAATTTAAAATTCAACACAACAGTAATATAAATTTCAAATTAATGCCTCAGATTAAGGCTGTTTATATTGCATGAAATGCAGAAGTACCTGAGACGGCTACAAAAGGATTGGTTATAGTTATAAGAACTATTAAATTCAGAAAATTAGAATATTTAGGCCATATTAACAGAGATGATAAGTATGAAGTACTAAGGCATATCATGTAAGGATAAAAGAAGCATATAATGCTAAAAAATGATTTCCTGGGTGAGAAACCTTTAAGAGTGGTATAATTGCAGGTCCATAGACTTTTTTAGAACAGTTTCTAATAAGGTATCAATAGCTAAGATGATGAAGAACCTCTCATATAGGAAGGAATGACAGTAAGTAAAAATCCATTAAATAATCAACAAAAGACTAATTGTTCTAGTTTCAATTAGTTCACCAATAATTCATAGTAAGTACATACATTTAAAAAAATCTAGAAGTGTTTTAGTTAAAATGTATATTAATTAAAAAAAACTTACCAGGTGGTGTATCTATAAGGAGATAGTCCAAATTTCCCCAATCAACTTCACTAAGGAATTGCCTAATCATTCCATTTTTCTTTGGTCCCCTCCAAATAACAGCATCATCAGGAGATCCCAATAAAAACCCTATTGACATTACTGACAAATTGTCTTCAACATACTAAAAAATGTAAATTAGCAAAGAAAAATTAACTAGTATTTGAACTTACTATAGGAGACCATCCAGATCCTGACTGATGCACACTCTCATCTTGGACCCCTAATACTCTTGGTTGAGAGGGACCACAAATATCAATGTCCAACACAGCTACCTAAAAAACCAATACAGAAATCTATAACTGCTCTTCATTCTGGACTATTATAACTTTTTTCTGTATAAAGACAGATTGTCTAAATTGTATTTGCAGTGAGAAATGGATTTAATTTTTTTAAGATAAAATCACCAATGTATAATATGAATTTATATAATAAAAAATATTTGTAATATATTTATATCATATATATGATTGTGATTGAACAGAGATTAGAGGCTATTCCAAGGATTCAAAATGGAGAGATTTTATGTACAGTCGCAGTAGATTTTGGCTTTGGTGTTTCTACAGTTTCCTATTGGGTTTAAATGAAAAGCAAGTTTGAGGAATATGCTTCGAAAATACCAAACAGGTAAATGAAGCTGTTTATCTGTGGTTCACACAAAAAAAGAGCCAAATGAGTAGCATCATCTGGATCAATAAGTCAAGAAAAGGCAAAAATCTTATCTGAAATGATGGGCAATGAAGAAAGAATTTAAAGCAAGTTCAGGTTGGTTATTGGCAAACTACACTAAAGATCATATTTACAACACAGATGAGACTGGATTAAAATTCAAAATATTGCCCAAAAAATCATTTCAACTTTGTTGAAAACATAAACACAGTGCACTGGGCCTAAAAACAAAATAACAGTTTTGTTTTGTAGCAATGCCGCAGTAATTCACAAATTGAGGCCTATGTGTGTTGGAAAATAAAAAAACCAAGAACTTAAAAAAAAATCAAAAAGTATGAATAACATTATTGTTGATATTATCAAGTAGTTTAGACACTGAACAACCCGAAGGTGCACTCCGATAAATTTACATTGGTAGCTGTCAGACAAATTCGGTGACCTTGCGCCATTTTTTTAGTGTACAATGTCAGTGTTTACGATTGCACAAAATCAAATTATTAGCGAAACAAATAGTGATCTAACCTAACAACAAACTCAAAATGATCTGTCAACGACGTGACTGTGAACTTAAAATATGGCCGCTGACCTGCACAAACCAGATGCGCAAACAATTACTGCCGAGTTGAGTGCACCTTAGGGTTGTTCAGTGGTTTAGAGCTGAGTGTAAACCTATTTTTCACAACTAAGGCTCTGTTCATATTGCATTAATGATTGCAAAACTTATTCCAGGCCACAAGGGAGAAGACATCATCATTTAATAATTACAGACCAATAAGTTTGTATCTTAACATTTTCACTCTTGTCCTTTCTATCCAAAATTGTAGAAAGTTATGTTATTAATAGACTGTGGAATATTTAAATAAAAAAACATGCAAAACGTGGTTTTATATATTGTAGCAATAAAATTTCAGCTACAATGGATATGGAATAAAATTCAATTTAAAATAGAGAAACAAAAAATTGTTTACACTATCTCATCTCCATCACCCAGAAAACCTTTATGTTTCAGTCATTATGTACATTATTTGTCATTAGTTGCAACCATTTTAATATCCCATGAGGGATGCTGCATTTTAGCTGAAGATGTCAGTTTATTAATAGCATTTAAGAGGATATAAAAAGTTAGTGTCAACTCATTTAAAAAGAAGTTCAAGAATTGAATTTTAATTTATAACAATTGTTTTGCTTGATCTATATATTCATCTATTGATTATGTATTATAATATTCCTAAAATATTATATGCTATTCAAATTGATATGAGAAATACTTTCCAACCTGCTAAGAAATTTCCTATATTGATTCAAAATAAATAGGTCAATTATTTCTATGTCTACAACTAAAATAGGTCAAATTGACTGGTACACCCTGTTACAAATCAATTAAATCCAAAAATATGAATACACTCAACTATGAACTCAAAAATAAGTTAAGGACATCTTTGTTGTCCTTATCAGAGAAAAGTAAAAATAAAAAGCTTACAAAAAAGAGTAAAAAGTAAACATCTTCTAAATGATGATCTTTGGTCAAGAAAAGGAAAGAAGGAGTCGTTATAATAGGGTAAGTTTTCTAAAATATATTAATAATTTGAGATATTTCAATTCCAGTAATTGTTCTAAGGATCTACTTCAAACATTAGTTAACATATTTATTTGAGATTATTATGTTGTCAGCATAGTATAATATACCTATTATTGTCTTTTAGATTCAGCATAGTCTTAAAGTTGTCATTTATCTCAAAATTATATCCATAAATATAAAATAAAACAAATGAAACATTATTTAAAGTGAAATATAATGCAAGCTCTACACTAATCAACTTACATTCTTCTCACTATGAGTACTTGCTATTGTTCTACTTAATATAGCTGTAACTGTGCTTTTGCCCACTCCACCCTTACCAGAAAGAATTAAAATTTTGTTATCTACATCTGACAATCTTTCCTTTACTAAATCAATACCTGGATCTGGCTTCTTTGGATCAGAGCTGGCACAAATATTTTGATTAGGACAACCAGCGCAAGCTGAAGCTTTACCAGCATTTTCGCTTTCAACTCCAGGACAATCTGAAATAAAACATTTATTAAAATAATGTTTGAAACATTACTATGATTATGATTACGTTCTGGAACTGCTGATGCCATGTTATATATAATATATATGCTCAAGAACTCGAATGTAATAGTCTAATAATGTTATCTATATTCTTAAAGTACAATATATTTTAATTTCGAAATTCTTCTTCTTCTTCTTCCTTTATTGGGTAATATCATTTCGAAATTCTTGTTTTTATATCGTCATTTTCGTCTTCTTTCTTTTTAACCACAAAACATCTGGCCTCTGTTTCAAAATGTCACATCTCAAATCCATAAGCATAGAATAAAATGTTTGTTATTCTGTGACGCTTTTTGCTAATTTTGATATAACATACACATTTAATATTTTAAATATTTATAAAATAAAAAATATATTTAAAAAATAATGGATTAATGTAATCGATCAGCTTCGACTTAATTAAAAATTTGGTTTATGATTTTTACTCACCTAATAAATGTATATAAGAAAATAGTGTTAGTTAGGTAAGATATTGTCTATTCGCTTAGCTAGGGCATATTTTGACAGACTCATTGTTGGAAACCTACAACACAACAATTCCTACTTCTCAGTATTAATAGCTCAAGTATACTACTATTGCAGACTTCTTTCTTTGAAAAAAAGAAGAATTATTCTAAATAGTGGAAGTGTATACTAAACCCATCAAATTTTCCATGTATATTTAAAATATAATATTTGAATTGTTACTATTTAAAATATTGTAGTAAATATTTATATATAAATATAAATATATATTTATATATATATATATATATATATATATATATATATATATATATATATAATTTATATATAAATAGTTTTATTGTTTTATTATCTTTGTTTAATTCTTTTGTTAGTTCTATTCAGTTAATTAGTTATATTTTAAATTTTATTATTATGGATAGTCAAAGTTTTCCATTTGTTCCATCAGCTAATGCGTTGGTAAGTGTTTCTTAATAAATATGATAAAATGTTTTTTAAAAGTTAATATTTTTAGATTAGTTGTTTCTAATTTAATATAAACTTGTTTATACTTACATGGAGGTTTTTATTGTTTGTTTGGGTTTATATGACTGCAGACTGCGGCCAGGACACTGAATTCATTCACCATATGTGGAAGATTTTAACATCCTCAAATGCTAATGAGCAAAAATTACTATTGAACCACGAATTTGCCTAGTCAAAAATTACTAATATTTGCTTTTAGCATATTGAAGTACACTTATTTTGTAAGATAATAAAACAACAGTTTATGTTAATGCTATCCAATTAACTGTTAATCTTTAATCATTGATTCCATCCTAGTCACAACGTAAGGAACTTGCTGTGTCTTATTTAACCTCACTTTGACTTTTTAATTTTGTAGAATTTATTCCCACTTTTTTTATTTTGTACAATAAATAATTTTATTATTTGTTATCAATACATTATACGGTGTAAATAAATAAATATTGATTGTCGGCAAAGTTCTATTTTATTTACTTTTGTTTACATTAATATTGACTAAATGCACGTATGCTTGGTTGTATAGTAATTTCCAGCCACTTCGAGTCTGTCAAAAAGTAACTAACTTCGCAAAAAAATAATTACTAAAATCACTAGACAGTTCGGACTGGGAATAGCGAACCGGGTATATATAAACACTCTTTGTTGTTCACCGGGAAATATTTGAAAGTGTCATTTTTAGAACTTAATTTACAGAAATAGTTATTTTCAGTTTTTAATACCAAAATGCCAGATCACGACACTGTTTTATATACGGTAATTGCTGAAATCCAAAAGCTTCCAAAATGTAATATTTGTATTGTTTTTAGCAAGTTCAACCATGGAGTACAGTAGGCGCTACGCCGTGTATGGAACAAGTTGCTGGACCTCCTATGCCCTCAAGAATTGGAAATTATTATCAAACACCTCTGCCTCACCCATGGAGACCTACAATAGGTTACGAACTAGTAGAAGCTATGCCACTGTAAGATTTATTTCTTTTTACTTTAATATTATACATATAAGTATGTCAGCTTCTTGTACATAATTATATTTTTTTAATCTCATCTATCTGTTTAATTTTTTAATCCCACTTTGGATTTAATGGCTATGAAGATCTCGCAGGTATGGAAAATTTGTACTATAAATAAGCACATTTCACAATTATGTTCACCATTTGTTTTACATTTAACGTAGATAAAATTAAATTCAAAGCAAACTATTTTTCCAGGCCGAGCCAACATGCTACAAATGCAATGGTGGATCCATGTTATACTCCTTATGGAATGGCCACAGAACCTTTAAAATTCCCTAATCTGGTTACTGGTTTTGAGCGTAATCCCGCACATGCAGCAAGAGCAGCACTCTACACAAGATATACTCCGCTAGAGTGGACTCAAAATGCTTTAAAACTATTTAACGAATCGGACACCAACAGAAATTACTCTGAAAGATTAAGAGGAGATTTCATTAGAGTAATGAGGTGACTATATTTTTACAACGTTTTATTTATAGGTATATCTTTAAATTTAATAGTTCAGATATTTTAACGAATTACGCTATATTTATCATATCGTTAGGTTGTTCTCTGGGTTCAGAGATTAATAAATGAAGCACGACGTGGTTTAACTAACTCTATCTATTAAACTCAACACTCACTTAATTAAAAATATCACAATTACTAATTACATTACTTAATAATTATCGCTTACAAAACAATTCGCACTGATGCTTAGAATCGCCAATACTATAGAGCTTGCCCCGAAAGTCTGAAATTCTCGAAGGTCATCTCTTTATCGGAGTTCGGTGACGAAGATTTTCACATAATTATTTTTGTTCACAAAATTTTCTCATACGAATCAGCTTGTTACTGCTTCATTGCCTCGCATATCGTCGTTCAGATGTCAAAATCTTGTATCTCAAAATTAGTGTATTTTGGGAAATCACCTACAACTTACCATAGTAGAAAATATAACTTTTAAAGTTATTTTTTTTTCTGAAATGTGGGTAGTTCCACGAAATGAATTATTTGTGATAGTGATTAAACTCGAAAACAATAGAGTTAGATTTTTTTGGAAAAAAATCGTGAGATACGAGTTTTTGAAATTTAAATAGTATTTAATTTCAGGTCTTACGAGGTTTTGGTAGCATATTTTCAGCCCTCTTACTCCTTTTTACACGCAAAGAAGAATATTACAGAAGAAAAATAAAATGTTTATTCTTAAATAAGAAATAAAACAAACATGTTACATAAGTACTCTGATATAAAATAAAATAAAACAACTATTTTCCATATTTTGAAAACAAAAAATTAGTGCTTCAACGAGTCATAAAAACCATGATAATCTGGGTGAATAACAGTCTTAAGAGACTGCAGGTGATTAAATTTGTCTTCTGTAATGGGCAAATGATCATTATACATTTTTCTTACGATTCCTGCATTATTCGTATTTTTGCGAACTTGTAAAAACTGCCACTCCTCCTCAAAGTTTAGTTTGAATTGGACAGGCAAATCTCTGGAATACCTGAGAGCCCTCAGATTATTCACACATGCATCTCCCACTTTTTTTCCTGGACGAATGGATGAATAATACTTAATTTCGGAATAGTCATTAAAAAATTGGTGATCAATGTATTTAACTTTGTATGGATTTTGGAAATTTTTACGGGCCTCTTTAATTATTTCCACATAATTGGATGGTGAGTAAATGCATTTATTTTTTTTTCTTTCTTTCAATGGAGTGCACACTATCGCACTTCATTTGCGAGTGACCTTTAACTAAATATTTCTGTATAATTACCGTATCATTTTCGTTGCAGAAATGCTGAAGTGCATTAGCCAATGTTACGTTGCGATTTTGTGCAGAACATCCATCGCTATAAAAAATTTTTGGTTTGTCCTTTTCTTGGGCATCTAACTCTTCATTTAAAAAATCAATTATACAAGATGTAAAGGAGTTGGCATCCGTTTTGCCCTCTCCCTCATGTCATACATAACAAACTACCTTATTATTTGTTAAATTATAGATGGTGAAGTTATGGCATGCTAGTTTCTGTTTAAAGTATACCATGCCTGCTGGGACGACAGGGACAAGTTGGACCGCTTGTACATCCATCGTAAACACGCCCATTTTTGCTTCCAACGCATCTTCTTTATCCTTGATTTTTTCCTTTATAGCGCGATCTTTTTGGCTAATATGCGATTCATAATCTTCTTGCTCTACATTGCCCAGTTTATGCGAAAAACATAAATCACACTTGTCCTTCCTTGGATGATACACATCCATGTTTGTGTTTTTCATTTCTTTTAAGAAAACATCATATCCTACGGCAGATTGTGGTTCATAATTTTTGTATACGTCATATACTTCCTTATATGATTGAAAAGTTGTTTCCAAATAAAGTTTACTCGTTGATGAACGGCAATAATGGGAGGGCATCTTTGGCAGTTTTTCAAGGAATGCTTTAACTTTATTTCTGCGTTCAATATTGACAGGTTTAATATTGGAAGGAAAAGTAGTAGTAGTTACGTTTGGAATACCCCCGTCACAACTAGTTTTCACCCAGTTTTGAACACTCCATTCACCCAATCCTAATGTGGAGAGAAACATTTTCTTGCAAACTGGAATTACGGTATTATCTATTTTCAAATGATAAAATAAACTTAAATTACGCCTTGATTTATTTTGTGTTCCTTTTTGCACTGTTGGCTGTTTATTAACTAGCGTACACACAAATATCTTTCGTTGATGCCAATCCCTCTCAGACCAAAACCCATCAAAAATTTTCCTTCGTTGAAAATCAGTTATCATTGAACATTTCCTTTTTTCTTTTGCTGCTAAACACTTTGCTGAAATACATCTTGGTTTCATTTCCCGGGAGTTTCTCTTTATGGTAACTATAGATCCATCTTTCTCCTTCTTTTTTGCTCTATATTCTTTACCACGCATTCTTAAACATTTTTGTTCATTTCTTTCCCAAGTAGAAGAATTTGCTTTGCCTTTTTTGCTACGCCTTCTCTTCTCATTTTTTTCTTCTCGAAGAGCGTCTACTTCTTTAGGCGTCGCTTTAATTTTTTTTGCGTCTGGCGACGTCTTTACAGCTTCATCTTTAGAATCCGAAGAACTATTTGGATGATAACTTGACTCTGATCCTTCGAAAGGTTCTTCAAATTCAATATCGGTGTTATAGTGTCGATTTTCTGCAGCTTCACTGATATTTTCTATATTCAAAGTTAGATCCCTACTCACATTCTCCATCTGAGTACTGTCCTTGACATCAACATTTAAACTATCTTCTATGTTAATACTAGCCAAACATCTGCTTTGGTTGCCATTTTTTAAATGAGATCCTGTTTGAATAGCAGTACTCTTTGGGTTAAAAATAGTACAGGAATGTACTTGAATGTTTTGTGAACAACCTGATGAAAAATCAGTGTGCTGGAAACTCAAGGATTCTTCTCGAAAGGTCTCATAAACTTGTTCAAAGCCTGTATTTGCTTTTTTCCAATCTTCTACATGACAGCTCTTAAGTTCTGCGACTTTTATCTCTTCTTCTGCGATCTCTTTAGAATGTAAATTTTGATTGGTAGTACTTTCATTCTGCTCAATATCAGAATCCGCTTTTAGACTTTCTAGTGCTAATTTGACCATTCTTAAAGCCCGGCTTGCCTAAAAATAAAACAAAAATACTTATTTTGTTTCCAAAGAAACCTCGTAAATCAATATTGTAAATACTTGATTATATTTTGGTAGGTAACGAAACCTCGTATCACAATATTTTTCACTTAAAAATTTACTGTAATACATTATTTTGGAAATTCTTGTACCAACTGACAAGTTTTTGCTTTTCCTTAATTGATTTATATAATTTGTTTCAGTTGATCACTTGAAATATAATAATTGAGTCATCATAGCCTCAAATTTTTTGGAACAATAATAGTTATATTTCTGTTTAACGTAAAACAATGCGTCTACGTATTATTAAAACAAAGTATTAAAATGTTTTCACTTACCATAGCTTCTAATAAACAGTTATAATTCTTTTAAACCTATATAAGTGCACAAAACTGTTCAGTATTTAACAATTTTTCAGACACGTGTTGACTTACGTGGTTTCGTGCGCAACATGTGAGATACAAGGTTTCTAAATTCGAGTGACGGAGGTGCAATTTTACATGCTTTGTAATAAGAGATTTCTCAATCGATGCGGCTCGATTTCCTAATATAGGCCACACAAAAAAAGAAAAACCATCGAAAATTGAGATACGGGGTTTTGACATCTTAGCGACGATATACCAGAAGTCGACTAAAACGTTCTTATAATAATATAACGCCTTGTATATTATTGCAGATTTTGATAAGACAGTTCTTGAAAATGTTCTCAATATAGAATTATACTACCTTATGCCAAATGTTTTACGAGATATGACCAATTACTTTTGAAACATTGTCCGATTTGACACCCAGTATTTTTATAAATAATAAAATTACAAGCATTTTGTTTAGTGCAATTTTTTTTAATATTGTCTGTTAATGAAACTTTAACATTTTGTGAATAGAATAAGATTTAATGTACAAAGGTGATTCAAAACGAGAACTTAAAAGTCCTAACTTTCTTATGGTCCATAGTATGTGGCTCTGGCATATAATTTAATATAACACATAATCATTATGCACTCACAGGTTTAACTCGTCCGAAGGAGTGTTAAATTACTAAGCCTTGGTATCATAATATAATTTCGAATATATTCTACTGTCTGTTTAGAGAAACCGATGAAAAAACTGCACAAGGTCAACGGGAATCCGGCAGGAGATTAGGTGAGAGAATAACGGATACTACATTCTGGAGGAATGAAGTGCGAACAGAATTGGAACGTCTAATTGCGGAAGCTGATTTGATGCAAGGAGTAAAGAGGGCAGTACAAAAAGCTTTAGATGATATCGAAGGACCTTTGCATATTGCGCAAGAATGTTTATATCATAGAGAAAAGAGAGATGGTAAATAACTAATCTTAATTTTATTTACAATTTTATTTGTGATGACTTTTTATGCAAATGTCTGTCTTCCGTGTATATCATGTTATGTTTCTTTGACGTTCAAATCAATGTTTTTGTTGTAGAGTCTATCCGTTTCGGATGTTGACGACCATCATGGTAATCTGTGTTTTCCAAACTATGTACGTAGATTTTTCAGCTAGGAAATTCTTCGCTTTTGTGGTCCTTGTTTTCGTTCTACTTTTCCTTAAAGAATTAATTGCAGCAACCCATATCTTTCGTTGTTCCTCATGATATGACCGAGATATTCATTTTATTGTGTAACTCTTTTCCTTTTTCCATCCTTAATAAAACGTTCTGGTTAGTAATGTGGTCGGTATAGGATATCTTCAGGATTCTACGATAAAGCCACATTTCGAAAGCCTCAATTTTCTTACAGGTAACGTCTGTAAGAGTCCACTACTCAACTCCGTATAACAGTATAATAAATATACAACCTGATTTTTATGAGTGCTGATAAATGAGGCTAAAAATGCTGAGGCTCTTGATTTGTATTGTAAAATTTATACCTTTCAGCGATAACTAACCGCTTTTTAACTCCTCAAATGTTTTTGAACTTGATACCTCTGGTGCTAATAAGTTTTTTAAGACACTGTAAGTCTCTCCGCCAATTAAAGAAATCAATAATGGAACTTCCTTGTCTTTTTCCACTACATTACATATAAACAACTGCTCAAGTCTCTCTATATAAGAGGTGATATCACTTTTCGCAGGATTGAACTGCTCAATGTATCCAATTAACGACATTTTTCGACTTTTGCGTGGATTCTTTCTGTGACTCGTCGCCAAATATGTTATGTATTTAATGAGGCACCGACTATTGTACAAAACTATTTATTAAAAGATACAGTGGTTACAAACAAACATTATGGATGACTCCGTAGACCCACGGCCTTCCATCACCTAACCTCACTATCGACCCCTAGTCTTTTCCACAGTGTCTCTTATTCCGCTGCCGGACTTATATATAACAGGGGACTCATCCGTATTTGACTAATGTCGTCAACGTCTCTGGCTTTCTCAATATATCTAGTCAATGTCTGAAATGGTATATCTTTCAAAGCAGCTACTTTTCTCAAAGATCCTCCTTCTCTTACCAGATTTACTGCTTCTCTCATTGTTTCCTCTGCGCAATTTCCGATTTTTCTTTTCTTTGGATCCATAATTAGCCTGAGACACTGTCTCACTGTTGGGTGTCTCACTGTTGGGCACGTGTAGTTGGCAGCCATTTTGTAACTGCACTTATACAATAAAATTTATAGAGACAAAATGATCCCACTCTTGTAATCTACATAAAAAACACTTAACTTTAACCTAGGCAGATCACCAAAATACTTTCTTTTACTTCAGAAAACACGAACTGACAAAACTTGAAAATATTTACTTACGCACATGGAAACTAAATTAATTTAAACGGCGTGTTCATCTCTGCCAGCCGCGTGTTTAACATTCTTGGCGATTACTTGTTGGTATGCAAGGTTTCTGCTCAGCAATGGAAAACCTAGTCGGTCGCGTGATAAGTTGGGGAGAAACAGTGTCTCACTGTAGGACCTGTCTCACTGTTGGGCTGGCCCTCTACATTACCTATATTGTTTTTTATGCTTTTCCAGTGATTTCCAATCAGTATCTTTTAATCTTTTGTGTTATCTGTATTGTCTATTATCTATATTTGATCTGTTGAATTATTAAATATGTATATTTTTTAAATATTTTTATAATTTACGTGTTGACTCATATACGTATTATGAATTTTATAGGAATCGATATGGTTCATGACATAGCTGAACACGCTTTACTAAAAGAAATTGAAACCTATAGAAACAAACAAGAGCAACTAAGAATTTTGTCGTCTAAAGCATCGGATCAGATGAGAAATAATAGAGCAGCTCAAGCTGAGCTAGAAAGGGATGTACAGAGCAAAGATTCGGCGCTTGGAATCGATAATATGTGCCACCAGCTGAATAATTTTTCCAAGGGAATCAACTATTATGGAGGAATAGAAAAATATGATCCCACGTAAGTCTAATTCAATTTACTGCATTATATTAGTATTTAAAATTTGGCAATCAACATAAAATGCACTATGTCAGCCATAGGATAGGTACTATTTTAAGGGACAATATTAATTTCGTATTTTCAGAAAATCATAAAAAACAGTAAAATTATTGTTTTTTTGTAGTTTAAAATTTAAAAGAGGGCATATTAATTGTAAACACGCTGTAGATAGAAATTGTTATCTAATAAATGTTCATTTCTTAGTGTGTACCAACACGTCTTCAAGATATTGCGTTAGTAAATCGGCGAGATATCAATGTGAAAAATCTTAAAAAAAAAAGATGAATAACTCAAAAATACTTTATTTTACCAGAAATGTTAGCCTTGTTTCTTTTTATATCTTAATATAATCGTAGAAATCCATGAAAACTGAGGGGTAGCACAACGAGGATACCATAACAGATTTCTCAAAATTAAATGACAAACACTGCCAGATGGTAGTATGGTATGGTATATATAAGTATAGAATTCGACCTGATCCCCTCACCCCTCACGATGTAAACTCGGAATCCTTATTCAATTTTTTATCGTGACGATCCAAACTATCTTAGCCTTCAACCCGCTCTCTCCCGACTGCGCAGAACTCACTTTTTAGAGGCAACTGATAATGTAAACAAACAATTGGATTAAGTATTTTTACTTGAAGAGACACGAAGTATTTTTCTTCGAAGATTTTTAAGACAAAACTCTAAGTGTTTGCCATAAAACCAGCCAATGTGGTGTGCGGTACTGAATGTTGAGCAATAAAAAATAAGAACAACGAATGCATCCCACGGAAATGAGAATTCGTAGATAGATAAATGAAGTAACAAAAAAAGGGTGGAATTGCGAATGGATATATTAGGAAAAGTCAAGGGATGGCATGAATTGATGCCAAAATGGAAGAGGATAGGTTAAAGTAGTTAGGGCATCTTCAAATTCGCAATGATGATCACCCAATATAAAGAATTGCTAAGTAGCAAATTCCTGTAACGGGTAGGAAAGGTAGGTCAAAGAAGATCGAGGTTTATGAAATAAATGTCAATGAACGTATTAGATAATGGGGCGAGCTTCAAATTTGGCTGACAGTCGATTTGCTGTTAATTTAAATTCAATACGATCATTATTAAATTAAACATTTATCAAACATTAATTTTATATATAATTATATTTGTTATAGGACAAGTAACACAGTAACTTGGGCTGAAAATAGTAACAGAATAGTGCAAAGATCCCAATCGGAGCGTGGCAAGTCGGCTCAAATGAGATCCGATATCGAAAACTTGATAAATGCCTGTGCTCAGGAAGTGTGGGATGCTTGGAGTAATACCAACAATGCTCTAGCGAGAAGAGCAGCTGAAACGTTAGAAATCAAAAGTAAATTACAAATGCAATTACACAAAGTAAGTATTTCTTCTCGTTCTCAGTCATCATCTGAATGGGTCCTTGCAGAAATAATCTGTCATCTAAAATTTGTCTCTCGTATTTTTTTTTCATTTTTTATTTGCAGTTTTTTTTTTTTATTTTATACCCAAATAAAAAATTCTTGTTAAGACTAGACTTTGCACAGCTTAGGATAAAAATTAGACATTTCAGAAATCTCTTTAATAAACATTTCTGTCGCTCTAATTGAAAATATTTTTTTTATGACCTTTAAGATATTTAGCAAAAAAACCTAATTGTGCAAATGATATAATTACACCTAGGTCTAGCAGCAGCTACTCGGGATTTTTTTTTATTTATGATTTCTTCCAAAAAAGTCATGTAGGAGCAGTAGTATCAACCGCCCATTATTATGTCTTTTAATCCGTTTTTCGCGAGATCACTCCGCATTTTCTTTGTTTTCTTGTTTTTTTTTTGTTATCTTTTTTCACAGTTTGCTTTGTGATTTCGTAAGGTTGATTATTAAGCTCCATTCTTTTCTATTTTCCATTTTTGTTCTCCAGTTAGGTACCTATTTTCATTATGTTGATATTTTCTCTGAATTGATCTTTCCATCTGCACTTTGGTTTTCTTTTAGGTCTTGTATTTGTAGGTTTCCACTTTAATATATTTTATTATTATCTTCTCATTTTAGTACATGCGCCAGCCATTTCAACCTTTGAGCATTTAGATGTTTGACAACATCTCTATTTATCTGGTATTTAAATAATCGTCTATATTATTTAGCAAGCATCATCAGATTCATATTTTTTATATAACTGATCTCTATTTTTATGTCCTTTATCAGTTCTAATATTGTATCTACCTTTCCTGTGGTAGACTCTTTTTGTAGTATTTTTGCTTTCTTTCCGAATGGTTCGTTCATCTTTTTGGATTATTTTATCTTCTACAACCATCATCAGTTGAGTCGCTCTCCAACTTTTTGTCTATTTGCATGATTTATTGTTCTTGTTATTCACTGTAAGTGTATCACCGCGGAAAAAACTTGCCCTCAGTCGCCTTATCAAAGAGCTGAGTTTTATCGACCGTTTTTATCAAACATTTTTTAGTGTTGTTTGCAGTCTTTTATACTTGGCTAATTTTATAAGTTGACTGATTTGGTTTCTTAATTTTAAACATTTTTGAACAACTGGAGAGGCCGCATTCAATTCGACCAAGGCTCGTTCCGCCTTTCCTGATGCTGTGGTCAATAGAACCGGAATTTCTGATGGTTGTTTGTTGTTAATAGAATAATTTTTTTCTAAAACTTTCTTATAAGACACTTTTTACACTACAGAGAGTTTTTTCTTAGCCTTCTCTCGTCAAGATTTGGACATAGGCCTCTCCCAACTCCTTCCATTGATCTCTATCCTGAGCAACATATTTCCAATTTGTTCTGGATATTTTTTTGATGTCGCCCACCCATCTCATCTGTGTTCTTCGTCTTGGTCGTCTACCGTTGTAAGGTCTCCAATGTTGTATTCTGGCGTTCCAACGTTAGACTTTTTATCTAGCAATGTGACCTGCAAAGCTCCATTTAAACATAAACTTTTCTACAGAGAGTTTATAAGCTCTCCTACAGAGAGTTTATGCTCGTATTATTTTCCACATATAGTTTAAAATTTATTTCTCACTACTTCTTCAGAAATCGGGATAAAGGTGGAAATTTATCACACATTTACTCCACACTAAATCGGCGCTGTTGCCGAATGCCTATATTTTGTTTTAATGTTAGTTTGGTCTGGGTTCTCAAATTTTCAGAAGATTCAGCAAAAAAACAATCATTTTTAGGTACAGCAAGAGATATTTGACTTGGAGAAAAACATTGAACTTTTGAAAAAAGCTATCGTTGATAAAAGCAATCCGATGAGAGTTGCCCAGACGAGATTGGAGGCCAGAAGCCATAGAAAAGAGATAGAATTGTGTAGAGACACTGCACAGGATAGGTAAGATTATTAGGTAGTGATTATTTTACAGTAAGTGCACTCTTCATTTAGCTTGCTCTTTCTAATTCATAAGTTCCTATATAGCTAACAGATAGACATAGGTACTAAGTTTCTTTGTGACGCGACCATTTTGTTGTATAATATATAGCTATTTTGGAGGCGTAACATTTTGTTAATATTATGAAAATAACTCATATCTTATAACCAATAAAATATCTTTTAGATTGGTGTACGAAGTAAAAGATCTTCAAGACAGCATAGAAATATTACATAGAAAGTTGCAGGAAGCTGAGGCCCAACATCAGCAGCTACTAAAAACCCGTTCTACCCTAGAGACTGATTTACACAGCAAAGTAAATTCATTATTTATAGACAGGGAAAAGTGTATGGGTCTACGAAGATCATTCCCTATTACAGCTACTATTAAATATTAATCGTGGAAGTTGGATCAGTAGAATAAATAAGTTGTTTGGTTCTGGCACTTTGATTATACATCTACGGCGTTATGTATCACTAGACACAATGCCAAAAAATTATTTGACTTAATTTCATTCTAGTATAACACAGTAATATCGTAATATAATGAATTTTCACAAAAAATTTTCGATTTTTTTATGTAAAACCTGCTTAATTACCTATACGAAAAAATAAAAACAAAAGTTTTAAATGGACTCATTTGTCGATCACTATTGGTTTAATACTACCTATATGCTTCCTACGTTATCGTTTATAAAAATGTGATGCCGTGTGCTGTACGCAGTTTCTGTTTAATAATATGTATGTAAAGCTCTTTATGAAGCTTCAAGCAATATTAGTTGATATTGTATTACTTTGATCCGACCGTCTCAGCAGATATTGTATTCTAGATATTCTACCTGCAACAATATCCTCTATTGTCAAGGTTTCTAACTAACTTTATCGATGAACAAAAGACTAAAATATGATTCTGTATTACCACTGACGCTAAACCATTAAAATAGAGAGTCCACCTTATTAATCTTCTTCGCTATTCAGTCCTATCTATTGACAACTGTTGCAAGTTAGTACACCAGTTTTCCTAACGTGTTAAAATCCTTGTTTCACTTTCTTTATTTCTGTAGGTCACTTGTTTCTTGTGAAAGTATTATTGCCAAAACTTTCCAAGTGGCTCTTTCCATTTGTAAAAGTGTGTTACAGCCAAGACGGTTTTGGAGTATATACGGGGTGTCTCACAAAAATAAAACGAGGATTTTAACACATTTCCATCCAAGTTTTGACCTATTTCTCTGTCTACTTCACTCGGTATCTGCTTGTGCTAGATATCCTAGGCACCTTAGCTTTCCTGTTTTTATGATACTACATCTATTCCATTAGATATTTTTTATCTACGTAATATTTGAACCCCACTCTAGAAATTTCACCAAATACTCATCTTAGGATCATTCATTCAAAGACCAGTGTATTATTTTTATGTGTTTTGGAGATAAATCCATATGGAAGCACTGGCAAAATAAGTTTTGTATATTATTTTTGTTTTTTGATTTTAATTGTCTTGTCAATCCAAAGCAGATCATCATGTATATAGTTATAAGAAACAGCTACTACCTAAGAGCTATAATTGTTGACAGTAAATTATGACCAATATGTTAGGTTTACGGTTTTTCTCTTTATCGTAAATTACACATTTGTATTACACCAAGACTGTTGAAAGGGATACACACCAAATCATTTCCATATTGTAGTCTGATGTTTTTCAAACTGTTGTGAATGTTCGTCCTGTATTAATACTGTGATACCTTTATGCATTTTAACTCCCTACCAGTTGTATTAGTTTGCTATGAGTTTAAATTCGCCCATAGTCTAGTAACTCATGAACAAAAGAATTAAATTTAAAAAAAATTAATATAATGTCAATAATTTGTCCTAATTCTATATACTTCTTGAATTTTTGTGAAAAATTTCATTTACCAATAGTTGAATATTAAGTATTTTCATTATGTAAAATGGCTACTATTTAACTAAACTGTTTTCAACTCCCTGAGTATTTCAGGTAAAGACATTTTGAAATACTTTGCGTTTATAAAAATTACTATACTAACAAAGGCTTATCACTAGGAAATATAAATTTCCTAGTGATAAGCCTATTGACTATTGATAAGACCTATAAGATATTGGTCTAGTAATAAAAAATCCATTACAAGAAAAATGGTTCTTGGTATAGCTAATCATTTCCAAAAAACTATTATAAAGGTAGATTTCGAATTTAAGGAAGTGGCTATTTGTCTAGTGATACATAACTCTGTTCACAGTAGGATATTACAAAATGTTGAATGTTTAAAAATCCTAGCTAAAGTACCAGTGACAAAAATATCAAAATCCACCTGCAACTGCACAAACTGAAAATAATTGTATAATAAAATAAGAACTTAATAAAAATACAATAGACTTTTATTTCCTAACTATTATTTAACAGTATTAACAAATGTAGGTAGAGGTAGGTTCAAACCCTCCTTGGCTTCGAAAAATGTATATGATAATGTTATCTCATTTACAAATTCCATATATGGATCTTCAGTAATTTCTGGATCTATATAAAAAAACACAGGCATATCCACCTACAAATTAAATTAAACTTTTGTAAACTGTATTTGAAAACAATAAGATATTAATTGTGTCTCTTAATGGTATATTACTGTATACAAAAACTTTTGATAATGTAATTAGAAATACTCTGTGATGGTTATAGAATAAAGAAACTATCCAATACATATGGATATACATATATCCAAATACATATATCCAAATATAAGTGAAACTTGATATATCAACATTAAGATAATATTAGATCTTAGGTGATTAGACAAGCCTTCAAACCAAATCCCCAATACTAAATACATAATAGCTAGCAAACAAAATTAAGTACCTCCCATATGGGAATAAGTGGTAATGAGGAAGTGGACTCTCTGGCAAGCAATGCAACAACCGACCAAAGTATTGCTATCAAATGCATTGGACTGATCACAAAGTAAATATCAAAGCCCACTTGTACAGAGTGTGGCAAACTACTTGGGATCACACTGCTAACAAACTCAAGGAATGTCTAAGTCAAGTAGGAGCCAAACTCATCTTACCAAGTAATAGAAAAGACCAAGTCATTATCAACCCACTCTGAATAGGACATACTTTCCTTACCCACAAGCATATCTTCAACCAGGAGGCTGCTCCAATGTGTACCAAGTACAACACTAAGTTGTCAGTGAAACATATAATTGTCCAGTGTACCAGAACGAAAGAATTGTGTGTGTTCTTAGTGACAATTTAAAAAGTGTACTACCAGATTGTAAAAAAAATATTTTTCTTTTATCTAAAAATATTTATCTTACTGTATGTCCCCCCGCCAATAACCCTTAGTGGTTGATGCAGGTATATTTGTTTAAATAAAAAAAAATAAGTACCTGTTCATGAGGATTTAACATTTGTTCTTCAAAACAAAAACATTGGATTTTATTAAAATACTGCCCTGCCTCAAATGGAACCACATTATATGTACTAATACCTACTACGGGAGCATCTGTGGGATTCATTGCGGTGTAGAAAGCCAAAGCTGTCTCTCCTGGATACACCTGAGAAGTACAAAGAAATCAATAATAAATATGTGTATTATATAAACAACAAATCATACTCATACAGTTATTTCTGATTGTTGGGGTTTAAAATTCCATCTCATACTAGCTGCGGTATCAGCATTGAATTTAATCTTTAAGGGTTTTTGTTTCACTGCTGACATGGTTTCTACTTTTTCTGCATCATGACCTGTGGACACTGTTCCTCCATAGCTGTAAGCTTGACAAAACAGCCTATATAATGGCACTGCAGCATAACTTAAACCTACTGTTACAACTCCTGCGGCTGTCACATAGTAAAGAGTCGATCTTATACCCCGTTTTTTAGTTTCATTCGTATTATTGGAATAAAGTCTTTTAAAATAATTATTTCTTGCATAATTTCTAATATTGGTGTGAATAGTTCTATTAGATATAGTTTTCACAATGTTCAATAAGTTAGTCATTTTTAGTTTTCATTTAATATGTTTATTAATCATGTTTATAAAATATACTTTTTTGTATTTAACCTTAATTTGAAATGTGAAGTTAGAAGGTAAATATATCTTTTTATTGATGGATGTGAAGTTAGCAATTTCCAATGACAGAATTAAAAACTAATTTTTTTTGGCCATCGAAACTATGGCACATATCTCTTAATAAAGTTCTTTACTGCAGTTATTTAGTAAAATTATTAGAATTGAAAGTTTTTTAATGGAAAACAAGTTTTTAAGCTTACAGCATCGCTTAGAGCAAGACGAGATGAAATACTACCAGATGTGCTCACAGGTGCATGAGAATGCAAAGCGATAAATAGAAGAAGTATGCTATGCCATATGCTGTGTTGTGTGTTTCAATCTAAACTGAGAGAAGATGAATTTTGAGGTTAGCGCATGAATTTAAACAAAAATGTTTTGCACAGCATCTCGTATTTGTCTTACACGACTAATTACTACAAGACAGCTGTCCTCAAGTCACCAAAAAATCGTAGTTACTGATCAAGGCAGTACAATAATAGCCTGGCATCCAAAAGAAGACTTTCCTTATGAATGCACTCGCCCATTACCAGTAGAACAAGAAAATGAAACTGCCACCGTTTTAAAAACAACAGTTACACCTGAATTATTAGGTATATTCAATAAAAAGACAGCAGAACAAGCAAGACAAGAGTTAATGAATATCACTCATACCACCAAACACAGATGGTTCCCCAGGGCAAGAGATAAGAGAGCAAAGAAAACTCCCATGGACAGAGAATATTTGTAATTGTCTATAGTGATAAACAAGAAATTTTAATAAAAAAATGTTAAATGCAATTTTGTTGCTTTTAGATGTTCTGAAACAATCTTATCATGCAATTTTAACAATGTATTGAATAATTACACACTAGATAGGTTTTTAAAAAATGGTTGTTTGTGTGAAATAATTTTGTTGAAGACTAAAAGAAGGATTGAATCCAAAATGTTTTTTTTTTATATAAAACAGCTGTTGCATTTAAAATAGTAGTAGTTTATTATATAAGAATACAAAATATAACTGCACATTTTTTAGTTTCATTCTCATCACAATGTTTTGCTGGTTGAAGTCTTCAGCTTGCTGTATCATTATCCAATAACAACTGTACCTTGAAAATTACGTTCTTTAAATATTTCTCAAGCTGGAACATCCTGCCCAAACATGTACTAATTTTGTTAATATTAAGCATTTGTAGGCTATTTATATCCCAATCTCTTGTATAATTTAATTTATAAGACTTTCACAGGGAATGCGTTTCTCAAATCTTACTTTTGCAATAACTATAAAACATATAATTTAAAAGCCAGCCATAGAATATTCAAATGCATTGCTTCCCAAAAGTAAGGATATAAATAGGTACATACTTAAAATCTTGTTGTCATTTTGTCTTGTTTCAATATAAAGAGCATACAGCATTTTTTCTACCTTGTTTCTTCTGCTTTAAAAACTGGATTAGGAGTGTATTCTTTTGCTTCCTAATTTTTAGACTCTAGAATATTATTATATTTGAGATTCCTTATAAGTCAATGAAGATTTGTTAATTTTTATGAGATGAGCTTTAAATCTATTTAACATGTTGCCTACCATCTGTCCATTTGGCTGAGAAAAAAATACACTCCAGCGAGGTCTATTTGACAGAATTTTAACTTGACTGTGGTGCCCTCTCAGCCACATATTTTCGCAATTTTTTTTTGTATGAGGAATTTTGAACAATTTTAAACATGAATCATTACAGGTCATATAAAGGTACCTTGCACACCATGGCGTGAGTGGTAATTTTTTTGACCATGTAGCAGAAATGGCCTTAGAGTGAACTTGAAAGTATTACCAATTCCTCTATAGCAAGCAACATGTTAAAATGAAACCTGGATCTACTAGTGACCTATCTTTTTCTTTAAATGTATAATGTTGCTGCCGATAATAATTATTTTTTAACTTTACCATTTACTTACCAAACACTAATACAAATTATTAGATACAAAATTAAAGATTTCACAGTAACAATCCTAATTTTTCGGGTAATAGTCCTTGGCTCTTAATCGCTGCTCTACAATCTTTCGCCCAGTTGACATTTTTCCTTGCCAAGTGACTGGCCCATTTATGATATTTTGAACTTTCAGCCTCTTTCATTATTTTCTCTCTCTCAAAGTTATTCCAAACACAGATCTTTCCATTTTTCTTCATGAATGATGTTTGTATGTACATACTGGTAGTATGTAATGTTTAAAGTTTTTCTAAACTAATTGTAATATTGTTATCCTTAATATATTTTTCAGCTCAGAATAAGCTGCTCATCCTATATGAATTTAGTGCTCTAAAAATTTCAGATCTTTAATTGGGCATATCCTAATTTTCTGTGCTAGATATGTATATATCTTGACCTATTTAATTTATGTACCAATGCTTTGAGGACCACATTTTACGTAATTGTTTTTATTGAGGTCATCTGCAGACCAACTTTTTGTATAACATAGTGGTTGTGTACAAATATATATAAAAATAAAATGAAACAGAAATCCATGAATGAGAAAATAGTTACTAACTCATCTTTTTATTTACATATTTGTTCCAATAGATATCATTATCAACTGCATAAAGTAACAAAAACCGCAGGGTATTATATTTATTAACACAAAGATTTATATGACAGCATAATGTCCTTACGAATAAACTATTTATTAACTAGTGTGTAATACAGGAATAATTTAAATATTTCCAGCGAAATTTCCTTCCTCTCTTTGACCATCCCATCTCTCAATCCAGGCATTTGGGCACACGGAATGGAACACTTTGGAGAAATATTCACAGGGCTTGTAATCACTTCCCCTCACTTTTTGACAGCGGTGGAAGTCAATGTAGCTCTGGTAGCAATAACGAGTTTGGTTGGTATTTGGAAAACGGGGATCAAAAGGGGCAGTTTTGAAAATTTCATCCTCTTTAATAGCTGGAGCCATGGCTGAAAAACAAAAAAAAAAATATTAAATTAAGAAAACAGACCAAAATTGCAACACTTAAATTTAATTGGAAATTAAATATTTTGTATCATTCATTAAATACGAAAAACATTTAATTTCAAGTATGGCATCAACAGAGCTATGATTAAAATTGACATGAAAAGGGTCAAACAAAGTTCTATCAATCTATAGAGCTTTTATAGTTTATATGAATATCATCAACATCATTGTTAAGTAAAATTAAATTAATACATAGCTTATGTTTCCACAGTCATGAATATTTATACATATCACAGTATGTTGGTGTATGAAGACATATATTTGGAAACAAAGATAAATGAAAAAATCACAGATAAGAATTGTGAGGTATACTCCTTGTAATCCAACAAGCCTATAATAATACATACAATGAACTAATTCAATATAAGGTTGAATGTTCGAATAATTGAACTTTGATGGTATACAAGGCAAATATCGAACACAATAATTAATTAAATCTTGCCCAAGTACTTTCGATCAATAGATCATCCTCAGGGGCATTTCGTCAGTTGTGGCCTATCCGACATGAGCAGAATGTCATACATGTAAATTTGGACATAACAATACAATACCCAAAGACAAACAAACACTTTAAAATTTTTAAAAATGGAGAAGCTACATGTTATATAGAAGCCGGAGATAGAATGTTTCTGTGAAATGACTTCAGAAGATGAAGCCTTTGTAACTACTTCAAGCAAAAAATATGATCAGTGTGTATTTGAGTTTGATATGCAATGTGCTGACGAGAATGATGCATCCTATAACGAACTATTACTTTTACAGGGAGTGAGAAATAAGACTATACTCTCGTGATGTATCAAAGAAAAATAAAAAAAAAGAAATATTTGCAAGCTTGCTAAATTGATTTATGTATAGACATTTTTCTTTAATTCACAATACATATGAATCTTTGAAATGCTTACATTTTCTAGTTTATAACAGACATCAATATTTTAATTATTTTTTTGTTCTTTAATAAACTCTATGCTGTCTAGTAGGTTGTTTAATTTAAGCTCTATATCAATACATATTTTATACAATACTCTTTAATAAGTACATCATTTTTGGATTACAAATCTTATAAAAATATTCAGAACTACAGCAGGTTGATGGCAGTATTCTATAATCCAACAGCACATTTTAAAATGTTTGTCAAATTACCCAGAGTCAACTGTCCATCCAAAAATGAACAGGGTAAAAAATTAAATAAATGGACAGAAATTCCAATCATACAAATACTTACAATATATAAACATAATGTAATGATAATTCTTTTATAAAATCAGAATACGTTATTAATTAATTAATACCTTAAATATAATTTATAACATTTGTCATGTAAATGGTCAGTGAGAAAGACTACCTCAAGTAATGAAATTAGAAGGCAGTTGTTAATGAAAATAAAAATATGTTTCGCCATGCATTTATACAATAAATATTTTGGACAATATAATAACAATACACAACCGAATTGTTTATTCAGTTTTCCTTGTTTTTTGGAAGATAAAAAACTAGAGAGCAAATTGAATATGATTATGTACCTGAGTTAACACCACAGTCTCGAAACCTTATTATCACATATATTTATCACAACTAACAATATACTGGTTTCTGATTTTTACTTCAAAATAGAAGTACACACACACAGTTTTGATAATCTTTAATTATAAACGCTGTATTCCTCGTGTAGCGAGTGCCCTAAGCAAAACGAAAACAACAACAAACCCCCAACCTCGATTGTCCTCGATACGTCAATAAACAAACAAACATGGAATCGGGCTAAATGATTGGCTATAAGATGACCTAGAGAAGGGTGCATGCGTGGTCTCGTGACGTCGACGTGACGAAGCTCACGTACACAATTCTCGTCGTGTATAAAATTATTCATTATTCTTGATTCTTTCAAGTTCAACTGCTGCTACCGGCAATCGGCTTATGTACAGTCTCACTGTTATTTACCACCTTCCAATTATGGAGCTACATGGAACCTTTATAAATATACATAGTATATTTTATAAATGTACATAATATAGTTCCCATTTGATATTATAAAAATCGTAAAAGTAAATAATTAAAGATTAAAGTTACGAAGAAATAGTAATGTTTATTTCAAAGTATATTACACAGTACCTATCAATTACTGAAAATCGTCCAAATAGTAAATTAAATAAAACATAAAGGAACCGATTCTTAAAGAAACTGATCATTTTATCCAAATTATTAAATGAAGTAACATAACAAGTCTTTCCAAAGGTGTAAATAGAACTTTGCAACGAAACAGGCGGCATTCCAGTAGATGATGTTAAAATTTATAAAGAAATAGAGTGCGGTAAAATGAAAGTTTAACGAAAATTGGTATTTCCTTATAAGGAAATGCTTATCGATGTTGATGCTTACCTTAATTAGTTAAAAAGTGAATTGAAAGTGCAGAAAAATCCCCCTCTGATGGAACAACTTGTGCCGAAAGCTTGAGGCGGCGTAGATACTTTGTTAAATGCGTTGCCTATTATTAGGACTCCAGGTATTATTTGACACCAGTTTTTTTTTATCTGCTCCCGACATTTGGAAGAAATAAAGTAATGAAGAAACAACAGTCTTTCATCTACTTTCGAAGAGTACGTTAAGAGGTTAAGTACCTGTTGAAGGAAAGGACCCTAAAGCCTATCCGAAAGTCAGAAACAGATAATATTTTAGGTCACAATGTGGAAATGTGTACGATGTCGAACGACTCATTAAACAACAATGTTGTGTTGACTATTACCCCTTACTTCAATTCATAATGATCAGAAAGATCGTAGATCACAGAACATTTGATAGTAAAAAAGCTCGATAAGTTACTTCAGCAGTCGAATTTCTCTTAATCCCAAAAATATCATGCAATATGGCAGCTCCGATTGGTATCTTAATATCAATTTTTTTTTTATTTCTGTCCATTTATTTAATATCATTAAAATGATTCTTGATTGATGTGGTTTGAAATAAATGAGAAAATGTCAATTAATCGCAATAAAACAAGGGGTCAAACTGTTGCCTCATTTTCCCACAAGAAGCTTATGCCTCTTACTTTTTTCGGCATTTAGTACCACCAATTGTATTGATTATTTTTACTCTCTGCAAAGTGTTTTTTTACCCATTAATTGTTCCACTAACAAAATTAAATGCTTGATCAATATAGTGTTAAGCATTTAACATTATTAATTTATCTTTATAAAGTAGTCAAACTACCTTAGCTACAATTTGTTGAAAAATGTTATAAAAAGTATAAAAGATACTTAATTGATTTTTACGGCAGTCTTCTTATCCTCCACAGAAGAATTTATTTTAGGCAATATTAACCTGGTTGAAGCTATGTACATACATGCGTGAAATTCTTCTACTCTTGTTTCAACTTCCATATCGAAAACCTAAAATTGATTAAAAGAAGTAAGCAAACTTACCAATACATTAACATGTTTCGGTTTTACCTGTTAATAGATCAGTATATTCCAAAAAAGTCGTAAAATAATAAAAAGAAAACGAAATAAAATATTTACCAACAAAATTTTGTAAAAGTTTATATTATTAGATTTTACAAAATAACTGTCGTAATGTTATTACAATACGCACAACCAAACTTATATGGAATCACCATGTATTTCAATCAAATATTTATTTCTTTTGAAAAACTTGTTATTGTTGGGAAGAATAAAGGTTTTTATTAAAAATAAACAAATCAATAAAACAATCAGATAACACTGATCGGCACGGTAAAAGTTGTAAATTGAACGAAAATAAATAAAATAACTTTCGCTTTTAACAGGAAAATATGCCTTATGTGAGTTTAATGGATGTGCAAAGGGGGTCTTATTGAGCAATAAATGTTTCAGGGGGACATAGCTACAGTCATCATCAATCAGCCAATCGCGTAAACTACTGGACATAGGCCTCCCTCAGTTCTTTCCAGTGTTCTCTACACTGGGCCGCTTGTAGCCGGTTTCCCGCTACACGTTTTATATCATCGGTCCATCTAGTCGGTGGTAGTCCTCGGCTTCTTTTATAGTTTCTGGGCCTCCATTCCATAATACGTCTTGTCCACCGTCCATCTTGTGCTCTGGCTAAGTGCCCTGCCCAGTTCCACTTAAGCGACGTGGTTCTTTCGATGACGTCTTGAACTCCTGATCTTTGCCTGATTTGTTGGTTTGTTATGTGGTCTCGAAGGCTCACGTTCAGCATTGCACGTTCCATGGCTCGTTGCGTAACTCGTGAGTTTATTCGCAGATTTTTGCGTGAGTGTTAAAGTCTCCGCTAATTACATTAGTATTATATCTTCTTACATCTTTTCTAATTTCGGCTGAAATTCTTTTATTTAGTTTTTTATATTCTTCTTTGTTTCCCTTTTCGTTCTCGCTTAGGTTTCGTCGTATTTCCATGAGAGCCTTTGTATTTTTGCTAATCTTTTCACTTTTGGTGTCATTTTTTTTTTTGCAAAATTTGAGCTACAGTAGCAACAGTAGTAGGCGTAATACAGGGCGTCGTTACAAGATAAAGTCGCCAAAAGTAAAAATGACCCATTGGTCAGAGAAGAAAAAGACCCAGAACAAGGTTCCTTGATAACATCGATGAAGACATGATAAATATGGGAATACGTGCTTATCGGAGGAAGGCGATGGACAGGGACGACTGAAGAGAAATTCTTGAGGAGGCTGGGACCCACACAGGGTTGTAAAGTCAGAATGATGATGATATATAAGTAATTTCTATCCATTTATTATAGTAGCCCATATTTGTGTCACATTGTCCAAGGTGCTTTCATGACATAAAAAAAATCCATTCAAATTAAATTAAAGAATTCTTCGAATATTGATAAGAAAACGGCTTCTTCTTTGAGTGCCTCTCTTATCGGAGATTGGATATCATTAGGGCGATTCTAATTTTATTTAATGCTGTTTTGAATAATTCGTTAGTGGTACAGCCAAACCACTCT